GCAGCCATTCCCTCCGACTGTCTTGGTGGGAGAGATGGGAGGCAGAAAACTCGCTCCATCAGCTCTGCCGAAAGGCCGCCTCCAGCAGGTGCCTTCTACGCCCACACTGTGCCAGCATTTGATCATTATACCAAAAAACATTGTTTAAGAATTGTGGCCCAAGTTTGGTTTTTTCCTCCTCCCTCCCTGTGCCTTTTTCCTTGTGTGTCGTGGTGGTCTTTCTTTCTTTCTTTCTTTCTTTCTTTCTTTCTTTCTTTCTTTCTTTCAAGATTATAAGCCTGTGGGCAGAGACTTGCCTTGTTTTAACTGAATGTATGTAAGCCACTCTGGGAGACATCACCTTGCCATCAAAGGACCGTATAGTTAAAGCTATGGTTTTCCCAGTAGTGATGTATGGAAGTGAGAGCTGGACCATAAAGAAGGCTGATCGCCGAAGAACGGATGCTTTTGAATTCTGGTAGCAACAGGGAGTCAGTAGTGGGGATGGTTTTGAATTCTGGTGCTGGAGGAGACTCTTGAGAGTCCCATGGACTGCAAGAAGATCAAACCTCTCCATGCTGAAGGAAATCAGCCCTGAGTGCTCACTGGAAGGACAGATCCTGAAGCTGAGGCTCCAAGACTTTGGCCACCTCATGAGAAGAGAAGACTCCCTGGAAAAGACCCTGATGTTGGGAAAGATGGAGGGCACAAGGAGAAGGAGACGACAGAGGACGAGATGGTGGGACAGTGTTCTCGAAGCTGCAAACATGAGTCTGACCAAACTACGGGAGGCAGTGGAAGACAGGGGGGCCTGGCGTGCTCTGGTCCAGGGGGTCACGAAGAGGCGGACACGACTAAACGACTAAACAACAACAACAAGCCACTCTGGGAGCCCTTTTGTCTGAAAAGGGAGAGAAAACACTCTAAGTAACCCTTTCCCAGTCCATCTCAGAACACTACGCAGAATGGGGCTTTTCTGAAAGATGCAAGAACGCTTCTACTGGAAGTTCCACTGTAGTCAACCTACCACTTAATTTACACTATTAATTTTCTAGGCCCTTAACAATTGGGGTCTAGGGTACCTCAAGACCCCTAGATCCCTTATATCCAAGCCTGTTCACAGAGGCCTTTGGGGGAGTCACTGTTCACGGTCCCCCACGGGTCAGATCCAAGAGGAGCCAAGCAAAATTTATGGAACTCCCTTCCAGTTGAGGTCAGACAGGCCCACTCTCCCTGTTGAACTTCCGACACCAAGTGAAGTCTTCTTTCATTCCAGCAGGCAGTTAAACTGAATCTCGATTTTATGGGTTCCACTTACTTTTATCTGCATTGCATTGTTTTTTCCCAGCTTAAGAGACGAAGAGGTACATAGTCAAACTGAGTATCGCCCTGTGGAAAGGATCCCAGTGCCTATTAAACAGGTTAGCAGCATATATTTTTGAAGTCTGTCCATTGAATGATATTGCTTGTCAGCCACACCTTGGTAAGGTTTGTATCTTGAGATGCAGGATCTAAATTGCAACACATCAATCATCCTGTCAAAAGGTAGGTGATTCATCCTCCCGCAAGTTTCTCAGGGACCAGGCCTACCACTCAGACTTACCAGAAAAGGTTGACTTGTTCTCTGGTGCCAGTTTTGAATTGTTTTTATCAGGTTTCAAATAGATATAGAAAATTTAAAAAACCCTTCTTGTTATGTTGTGGGTCAACATATCAGACGACACAGCGATTCTTCAAACAGCTCTTGGTTATTCACAAGCCAGGACAGAACTGAACTGAAGGGTTCAGCCAGCCTGCTTATATAGAGCTCCACTAGAACACAACAGCAACCATTTTCTCTAACTATCCAATCACTGAACGTCACTGTCAACCCCTTATTTGCATATGTGGACCTGAGTGAAAACTATCTACAGTATCCCCCTGCTGGCCCAGGGTGAGAACTTCAGTACATAACCCTCCTCCCAATCTGGGATGGGTATAGTGGATGAATCACAAAACAGGTATTTTGACAAAAGAAAAACAGACACAGTCCATTAACTTTGCAACTGTTACTATACATCCTATTACGTTTACATGCGGGATCTCAACTACAGCTTCCATGGCTGACGGCCATTCAGCCTCTGCTTTGAAATCTCCCAAAGAAGAGTTTCTTGAAGGGAAATTGTCAAAACAGCCATGTTGTCTGGGAGTAATTCCCTTTTTCATGATTTGCCAAGCAAGGATAATGCAAACTTTTACCTTTCAATAAAAAGCTGTTTGCATCATTGAAAGCTCTGTTATTGTGTTTTCCTTTTAAGACAAAAGATGTTAACGTATGACTTGTTTTTTTCTAAACTAAAACCTCAGTATTCAGGTTAAATTGCCGTGTTGGGTTTTGGGTTGCAGTTTGGGCACTGGGTCTCTAAAAGCTTCGCCATCACTGGTCTAAGGCACCTCTCTGGGTTCCCAAGGCTTGCCCTCCAATGCAGAGACATGTATAGGTTTTGCTGACAAGTTGTGTTCATCCTTATCTATGTGGAAGCCGCTGCCTGCAGGGACTAAGACAAGAGAGGACCCACAGCATAAATGCAGACCCCTCCAAGCCTCTACATGGCCCCCGGCACCCTTTGCAGGCCACACGCCCTCACCTCCCGTGCTTTGCATGCCCCTCGAGTGTTGGGTGGTAGCTAATGGATCGAGGTTGAATCCTGACAAGACAGAAGTACTCTTCTTGGGGGACAGGGGGCGGGTGTGTGTGAGGGACTCCCTGGTCCTGAATGGGGTCACTGTGCCCTGAAGGACCAGGTGCGCAGCCTGGGAGTCATTCTGGACTCACAGCTGTCCATGGAGGCGCAGGTCAGTTCTGTGTCCAGGGCAGCTGTTTACCAACTCCATCTGGTATGCAGGCTGAGACCCTCCCTGCCCACGGACTGTCTCACCAGAGTGGTGCATGCTCTGGTTATCTCCTGCTTGGACTACTGCAATGCGCTCTATGTGGGGCTACCTTTGAAGGTGACCCAGAAACGACAACTAATCCAGAATATGGCAGCTAGACTGGTGACTGGAAGCGGCCGCCGAGACCACATAACACCAGTCTTGAAAGACTTACACTGGCTCCCAGTATGTTTCCAAGCACAATTCAAAGTATTGGAGTTGACCTTTAAAGCCCTAAGCGACCTCGGTCCAGTATACCTGAAGGAGCGTCTCCACCCCCATCGTTCTGCCCGGACACTGAGGTCCAGCTCTGAGGGCCTTCTGGCAGTTCCTTCCCTGCGAGAAGCCAAGTTACAGGGAACCAGGCAGAGGGCCTTCTCGGTGGTGGCGCCTGCCCTGTGGAACGCCCTCCCACCAGATATCAATGAGAAAAACTACCAGACTTTTAGAAGACATCTGAAGACAGCCCTGTTCGGGGAAGTTTTTAATGTGTGACATTTTAGTGTATTTTTGTAGAAAAAGGTAAAATTTGCATGCATAAAATTTCCACTCCCTTTTGCCCACCCCGGTAAGTGGACCTCAAGGGGTTGCCCAGAAGGGAATGCGGCCCTCGGGTAGAAAACATTCCCCACCATGGACTAGGACCCTGCCTTCCCCAACCTGCAGTTGTTGTTTTTCTGGAGAGCTGCCATCGTCCACGCTTGGGGTTGAAGGAAGTTGTAGCTGAGCCAGACAGGGCTGAGAGTAGGTTGCAGGCGCGAGGGACCTTTGGCCCATCAGATGTCGCTGAACTATAACTCCCACCAGCCCCACAAGCATGGGCGATAAGCCAGGGGTGATGGGTGCCATAGCATCTGCCGCATCTGGGCGGCCAAAAGTTTCCGGCAGGCAGGCAGGCAGACCCCAACTTTTGCAAAATGAATCCAGATGCAGTAGCCTTTGTTCTGACCCAGCCAAAAGGTGACGCCTAACGTTCTCAAGGGACGCGGGTGGCGCTGTGGGTAAAACCTCAGTGCCTAGGACTTGCCGATCGTATGGTCGGCGGTTCGAATCCCCGCGGCGGGGTGAGCTCCCGTTGTTCGGTCCCAGCTCCTGTCCACCTAGCAGTTCGAAAGCACCCTTAAGTGCAAGTAGATAAATAGGTACTGCTTTATAGCGGGAAGGTAAACGGCATTTCCGTGCGCTGCGCTGGTGCTGGCTCGCCAGAGCAGCTTTGTCACGCTGGCCACGTGACCTGAAGTGTCTCCGGACAGTGCTGGCCCCCGGCCTCTTAAGTGAGAAGGGTGCACAACCCTAGAGTCGGACACGACTGACCCGTACAGGCAGGGGTACCTTTACCTTTAACATTCTCAAAAGCAGGTGTGCGCGCACCAAGGAGCTCTCTCCAAGGGATGGGGGTCAAGCGCCTTTGAGCTGCAAGGTTTATCAACCGATAGCAGATTGCAAAGATATTTTTTAGAAGTAGACTCAAAGCAAACCACCCTTGCTTTAATGCATGGGTAGGCTAACTAAAAGGATGTGGGTTGTGGGTGGCGCTGTGGTCTAAACCACTGAGCCTCTTGGGCTTGCCAATCAGAAGGCTGGCGGTTCAAATCCCTGCGACGGGGTGAGCTCCCATTGCTCTGTCCCAGCATGTCAAAGTGCAAGTAGATAAAGAGGTACCACTCCAGAGGGAAGGTAAATGCCATTTCCGTGTGTTGCTCTGGTTTGCCAGAAGCAGCTTTGTCATGCTGGCCACATGTCTGCGGACAAACACTGGCTCCCTCAGCCACTAAAGCGAGATGAGCACCACAACCCCCCGAGTCCTCCGAGACCGACTGGTCAGGGGTCCCTTTACCTAGGCAGACTAAGGTCCAGGGGGCCAGATCCAGCCCAATCGCCTTCTAAATCAGCCTGCGGACGGTCCAGGAATCAGCGTGTTTTTACATGAGTAGAATGTGTCCTTTTATTTAAAATGAATCTCTGGGTTATTTGTGGGGCATAGGAATTTGTTCATATTTCCCCCCAAAAAAACAGGCCGGCTCCCCCCAAGGTCTGAGAGACAGTGGACTGGCCCCCTGCTGAAAAAGTTTGCTGACCCCTGCTTAATGCATATGAAACCACTCCTCTTTTTTTTAAACACTCAACTCAGTATTTATTTCTACATTCACACAATGCTAGATTACATTATACAAGTCGATCCTCTACATTCTGCCACGGTGCGGCGCGGCCAACCGACAGGGTTAAATGCAGACATGGGGTAATATCTGTTCTCTAGGGGGCTAGGCTGAGTTTGACGGGAGAAGTTCACTCTCTGCCTGAGAGATGGATGGGCAGTCGCTGAGACATATTCTTTCGGAGGTGAGAAGAGGCAGGAAACTAGGGCACATTTTTCCTCCTCGACTTTGTCAAACCCAATGCGCCTTTACACTGTTATTAATAATCTGAAAACCACCCTTGATGGGCATACTGGATTGAACGGGGATAAAAACTGAACTTCCTAGCGCTGGACGGAGCTAATAGCCATATATATATACATGACATATATAATTATATATATATATAATTACTAAAAAGGCACTTTCTTTCCAAAAAGGGACCAGCCTTACAGATCAATTGCAAGAAATGCAAAGGTTCCTTCTTGCGGCCTTTGGGTGGGGCAAAAGCGTCCTTTTGGCCTTCAAACGTCCTCGCGTCCCGTCCCAATCAAACCCTTTTCAGAAAATCCTCCTTTTTTTCTTTTTTGCGGCTTCAAGCGGGCCGTGCCGCTGGGCGGATGGGGCTACCCAGACAGTCCCACCGCACGCTACAAGGGAGTTGGTTGCCTCTGGGGAGCGAGCAGCAAGGGCGAAGCAGCTGGCGATGGAATAAAGGCCCGGTGAGTTTGCAGAGGGTTCCTTTTTTGGGGAGTGGGGAGTGGAGGAGAGGAGATTGAGTTCATGTTTCCAGCACTCGGATGAGAGGCAAAGGTTTGGGGCCTGGAGACTTGGTGAGCCGTTTGCTGCAGGAGAGAGAGAGAGAAGACAGGAGGGGAGGGAGAGAGATATTAGAGAATAAGCTGACATTAGGAAACGTGTTGGGATAGAAGTACTGTTTTTGGGGGACAGGGAGCGGGCAGGAGTGGGGGATTCCCTGGTCCTGAATGGGGTACCTGAGCCCCTGAAGGACCAGGTGCGCAGTCTGGGAGTCATTTTGGACTCACCGCTGTCCATGGAGGCGCAGGTTAACTCTGTGTCCAGGGCAGCTGTCTACCAGCTCCATCTGGTATGCAGGATGAGACCCTACCTGCCCACGAACTGTCTCGCCAGAGTGGTGCATGCTCTAGTTATCTCTCGCTTGGACTACTGTAATACGCTCTACATGTGGCTACCTTTGAAGGTGACTCAGAAACTGCAACTAATCCAGAATGCGGCAGCTAGACTGAGGACTGGGAGCGGCTGAAGAAACCATATAACACCGGTCCTGAGAGATCTGCACTGGTTCCCAGTACGTTTCCGAGCAAAATTCGAAGTGTTGGTGCTGACCTTTAAAGCCCTAAACGGCCTCGGTCCAGTATATCTGAAGGAGCGTCTCCACCCCCATCGTTCTGCCTGGACACTGAAGTTAGCCAAGTTAGAGGGAACCAGACAGAGGGCCTTCTCGGTAGTGGCGCCTGCCTTGTGGAACGCCCTCCCTTCAGATGTGAAGGAAATAAGCAGCTATCCTATCTTTAAAAGACATCTGAAAGCAGCCCTGTTTAGGGAAATTTTTAATATTTAATGCTGTATTGTTTTAAACACTCGACTGGGAGCCGCCCAGAGTGGCTGGGGAAACTCAGCCAGATGGGCTCTGAATGAATGAATGAATGAATGAATGAATAAATAAATAAATTTAAAAAAATAATAATATTATTATTATTATTCCTGGCCTGTTCTGCAGTGAGTGGGTATGACTTGTCCCTTTTTGCAGTGAATTGAATGTGCGGATCAGCACTTCCTAGGTATTCTGGCCCATCGCTCTGAAGGTGTGTTAAGCTATTTGCATTTTAGGAATGTGCAAGTCGCTTTGGGGAGGGGGAAGAGAAGAGGGGTGCACCAACGGGGCCCACGACTCAGGGAGTGTAGTTGAGGAGTGAGACCCCACCAGGCAAGGCCTCTTTCCACCCGCCTTGCCCCACCCTCCAGTCGCTGCTTCTCCTTTTGTACTGCGTTATGTTGTGCACTGGGGCTTGATGTTGTTTTATTGACTGGAGTTGGGAAATTACTTATTGTAACTGTTAAGAGTGGATTTCTGTTTAATCTTGAAATGCTGCTATTTATTATTATACTATATTATTCTATTGAATGTCGAATATTATTTTATTTGCATATTGTATACAGTGGTACCTCGGGTTACAGACGCTTCAGGTTACTCTGCTAACCCAGAAATAGTACCTCAGGTTAAGAACTTTGCTTCAGGATGAGAAGAGAAATTGTGCTCCGGCGGCGCGTCGACAGCAGGAGGCCCCATTAGCTAAAGTGGTGCTTCAGGTTAAGAACAGTTTTAGGTTAAGAACGGACCTCCAGAACGAATTAAGTTCTTAACCCGAGGTACCACTGTACTGTATTATGCATATTGTCTTATTTATATGATGTTAGATGCTCTGAGCCTCGCTCTGGCCAGGGAGGGCAGGATACAAATAAATTTTGTTGTTGTTGTTACAGTGGTGCCTCGCAAGACGAAATTAATCCGTTCCGCGAGTGTCTTCGTCTAGCGGTTTTTTCGTCTTGCGAAGCAACCCTATTAGCGGCTTAACGGATTAGCGCTATTAGCGGTTTAGCGGCTATTAAAGGCTTATCGGCTTAGCGGATTAGCTGCTAAAAGGCTATTAAAGGCTTAGCGGCTTAGATAAAGGGGGAGCGGAAAAAAATCTCAAGACTCGCAAGACATTTTTGTCTTGCGAAGCAAGCCCATAGGGAAATTCGTCCTGCGAAGCAACTCAAAAACGGAAAACCCTTTCGTCTAGCGGGTTTTCCGTCTTGCGAGGCATTCGTCTTGCGGGGCACCACTGTATTCCACCCCAGGCCGGCTGCCACTGCCCCTAAAGGGCAGGTGGCAACCCCTCCACCCAGCCCCCTCTCCCAGCCGCTCACCTGCTGACGTACTCTGATTTGGAGCGGGGCCTTGCATTGTGGACCCCGGCGCTCAGGGCCTGCTTTTCAATGAGGTGTTCCATGCGGTCGTGCATCTCGAGGTTCTGAAGGGAGAAAACAGGAGAGTAAAAGGGATGATGTCACTGATTTCCAGAGGGCTGGTCTAAACGAACTGGGGGTGGGGGGCTTCCAGCTCTACAACCATATTTTAAAAAAGGGACACGTTCATTTAACCGGCAACATTTCGCTCGGGAAAAAGGGAGGCAGACAGAACTGGCCTGTGGCCTGAACCACTGGAAGAACAAACGGCATTTCAGTAATGGGAGCAAAGGATCACGGTCGGGACGTGCCAAGAGAAAAACTACGCATTTGGCAGAAACTGGCAAAATGTGCATTAAATTCCTCTTTGATGGCGCTGTTTGATCTGCTTTGATGCTCATTTTGGCAGGGAGGGACAGCAGTCCCACCTGCAAGTCAATTTCGTGCCTGTGTGTGTCCTTTCAACACACCTGGAGTCAGGTTGCAAGAGTCTGCTCTGGACCCGGCCGGCATTCCCGTAGCACCACAAACGCCCCACCAGGGGGCAGCCGAGCCAAGGGCTCTTCTGGGGCAAGGAATGCGCTTGGTCTTTCACCACCAAGATTGCCAGCTTGCAAAATCAAAATGCAAACACCCCACCCTACTCCAAAACTGGATTACGCATTTTCTCCAGATTTCACAATGGGAAAGCATGTGCAAAAATAGGTGTTTTTAAGGCTGTGTACGCAGCCTTAAAGCACGTGCAAAAACCAGGTTTTTTTTAAAGGCTGCGTATGCCATGCCTTGTTTTTACAGGCGAATGCACTGAGAAGTATTAGCGGTGAATTTTACGTTTTTAAAAGAGTATCTCGTACGTAAGGAGAGCATCCAAAATGTGGGCTTCAGGGGTGGTGCCCTACTCAGCGTAGACCTCCGCCGAAATTAGCGGACCTAAGCTAGGCATGTTGATTTTAATGAGTCTGAGTAGGACTAACGTTGGATAAAACTGTAATAATCTGCAGCCATATGCACAAACATCGTAGGGAGAAATATGATCACAAGGTGGGCTGATAGGGGACTGCGCTGGATGGCTCTAAAAAGCGACTATATGGGTTTGCAGCCAATGTTAGCCCCGCTCAATGCATAGAAAAACAACTCATGAGAAAACTTAGGCCCTTTAATGTCAACATCTTGCAGGCAACAGAATTAGGAACTTTAATGAAAATGGCTGCCTACCTCTGCCTCCAGGTAGGCCACACGTTCTTTGAGTTCCTGGATGATTGTGTCTTTGGACTGAATCACAGTCTTGGAGTTTTGAAGCTGTGGAGAAGGAGGATTGTTAGAAATGCAATCTTCAGAAAAGGAGAAGCTAGCTGCAAACATGCCCCAAAATGGCCCAGGTAAGTTGCACCAGGGACACGGGTGGCGCTGTGGGTTAAACCACAGAGCCTAGGACTTGCCGATCAGAAGGTCAGCGGTTCAAATCCCCGCGACGGGGTGAGCTCCTGTTGCTCAGTCCCAGCTCCTGCCAACCTAGCAGTTCAAAAGTACGTCAAAGTGCAAGTAGATAAATAGGTACCCCTCCGGCGGGAAGGTAAACAGCATTTCTGTGCACTGCTCTGGTTCGCCAGAAGTGGCTTAGCCATGCTGGCCACATGACCCGGAAGCTGTATGCCGGTTCCCTCGGCCAATAAAGCGAGATGAGCGCCGCAACCCCAGAGTCAGTCACGACTGGACCTAATGGTCAGGGGTCCCTTTACCTTTTAAGTTGCACCAGGGATTTAAAACTAGCACCCCCACCCCCAGAGAAAGTGGGATCTGTAATCTTGGGGAAGGTGGGAGAGAGAGTGACAGATCTCAAAGCAAAGATGCAACATCAAACTTCAACTCCCATGAAGTGGGGCCACAGCTGTCAAAGGAGGGGTGAGGAATTTGCAGAAAGCTCCCGATATTCCTGGACTTCAATTTCCAGCAGCCCACAGGGTCAAGGGTCAGGAATGCAGCTGTAATCCACTACCACCGATGACACAGAAATGTCTGAACTCTCTCCCTCTGCAGTTAATGCACGCTGCCTGATTAATCGGACTCCTACAGCAGCTTATAAATCATTTTGAAAACGCAACAGCCCCTCCCCACAGGCTTACAATCTAAAAAGTTGCAACACACAAGGAAAACCGATTGGGAGGGAAGAGGAAATAAGGAAACTCAAGCCCCTAAATTGCTAGGGTGTTCTAACAACCGGCTGGGAGGCTCCAAAAGCTGCTGGTCTCTCAGCTGTGTGGAGTTTGTTTAGGAAAGTTTTTCTAACACAATTTTAAGTTTGAATCCCTAATCCTCTGGCGATTTGCAGAACTTTCAGAGAGAGAGAGAGAGAATCGTCACTGCATTCAGCCCCAGACACCTCCATGAAAAGGGCTTAGTTACAGGAGTCCTTTTGTGGTGTGAGTCACTCAAAAGATGGGAGGTCAGTTTTAAATCAAACAGAAGCCAAATTAATTGGCACAGGGCTTAAGATTTAACTCTTTCCCAAGTCAGGGAGATACACACACGGCTGGTTTTAAAGGCGGAGAGACTCTCTCTTTTTTATTTGTTAATCTTACCATCTGGTTTCTGTTATGTTTGGCTGTTAGCTCACTTTCACCGTCTAGACTTACAAATGTACGAAGACAAGCCTATCCAGACACGCAGAGCACTGACGTGTGTTTTAATATGGCTTTTTATAGCTCTTCATTAATTTTTTTTTAAAGGTTTTAAAGAATTGTTCGACAGGTTTTTGAAAAACAGATAATTCCCTTGCTTTATTCTCTCCGTAATCTGCTTTGAGGTCCAATTAGCTTTTTGACATTCAAGTGACATATGCAAAAATGCTCTTTTGGGGTTACTCCCAGTGGCAGCCTGGGGCCGATTGGGACTGGTGGGGAAGAAGGCAGAGAAAGAATCCCAATGGGAGGTGGAGCCAGAGCCAAAGGGGTGGAGCCTGTGTCAATGGGGTGGAGCCAGTGTCAACAGGAGGCGGAGCCAACTTCCTCTACTCCACCCCCCTTCTTCCTCCTACCTGCCAAGTTCTACAAGGGACAATGTTGAGACCAAGGGTGTCAGGGGTGCATGCAGGAGCCAGGCCCTGTGACCAATAGGTCTTTGCAGGACTGGGGCCTTCCTGAGTTTGTTCTGAAGAGGCAAGGCACAGCCACACAGGTGAGGCTGCTTGGTAACTCACAGCACCTCATGGCAAGAGCCAGGAAGGGATACAAGGTCAGCACTTTGCTTCGGCTCTTTGCCACAGCAGCATGCTTCCTGCCTTGGGTTTCTTGCTTCCTGATCCTTGAACCTTGGGCTTTGTGACCCCTTTCTTCTTGACCCTCAGACCCCTGACTTTGTGACATCCCTGCTTCTTGACCCTCGGACCCCTGACTTTGTGACTCCTTGCTTCCTGACCCTCGGACCCCCAACTTTGTGACTCCTTGCTTCTTGACCCTCGGACCCCTGACTTTGTGACTCCTTGCTTCCTGACCCTCGGACCCTTGGGCTTCGTGACTCCTGGCTCTCTGAAACCTCAAACTCTTGGCTTCTGGACCCCCGTTCCTGCTCCCACCCCATCTTGCCCCCGGTCCTGACGTCCCCTGCCGGGACTTCGATCGCCCATGAACCGGACCGCGACAAAGGGTGAAGAGGAAGCGAACAGGCAGGGCCACCCCTCGTACAGGTTGTTAAGTAGGTAGCCAGGCAGGGAGGGGGTTGGCTGAGAGCAGAGGGGGAACAAGGATGCTGGACTCATCCTGCTCTTTGCATTACGCTTGGGTCTAGCACAACATTATCTCTGGAGTCAGGAGGATGTCACGCTGCCGGCAAGCGGAGGGGTAAGAGTGGAGGAAGGAGAAAGAAGCAGGTTGCGTAACCCCAAACTCAGGGAGGGGACAAGACCCCCAAAATGCTCCATCCCAGCACCCACCTGCTCAATCATCTGCCGGACCTTCCTCTGCTGGCTCTTCAGCATGTCGTCCAAGTGGTGGATCTTCTCTCGCAAAGTAGCAACTTCCTTCTCCAGTTTGGCTGACCTGAGAGCAGGAGGACGAAGAAGAAGAAGGAGAAAGAGGCCGCAGGTTATGCAAAAGCCAGTTCCGTAAGATCCCGCTTTTCGTTCCAGCTTGGAAAGCGGCTGCACGGATTGAAGAAAATGTTCCCTTTAACATTTGTTAAAAAACCCGAGGCATTTTTGTTGGGGACTGTAAGGAAAGACCTGCCAAAAAAGTTGAAAAGCATCTTCATGTATGCGACAACGGCCGCAAGAGTTCTGGTAGCACAAGGATGGAAGACTGAAGAAACCCCAACTAAAGAATCATGGCAAGAAAAATTGATGAATTATGCAGAACTGGCAAAACTGACAGATAAGCTATGGGACAAGGATAACTGTGACTTTAAGGATGAATGGGAACCCTTTACAAAGTATCTGAAGACGCAACAAAGTGAACTGGACTGGACTCCTTGGCAGGTTTTGAACATTCACAAACTTTTTATTGATAATAATCAGCTAAATAGTTTGAGGATCTATAGAACTTTGTAACATGCAGAAAACAGCATTCTTAGAGAAACCAAAGACTGGAACTGAGGGAAGTCGGGGGGCGGGTTGTGTGGGAGGGGGGGAGGGAGGAAAAATGGGGGGGAAACAAGGATGATATGTTTTTGGATAATATGTCTTGTTATAATTTTGAATAAAAAAAAAAGAAAAAAGAAAAAAAAGAAAAGCGGCTGCATGGGCAACTCCCCATTTAAGTGCTCTCGGGGCACACGCGTGTATCGCTGCGAACTCAGACGTGGAATAAAAAGGGGTGAAAACAGCCCCGAAAGAGCACGAAAACGGCAAAATCACAACACTTTGGAGGTCCCAAGTCGCAAAGTGGTTAGATTGGTCTTGACTAGGGCCAGGGCCTTTTCAGTACTGGCCCCGATCTGGTGGAACGCTCTGTCACAAGAGACCAGGGCCCTGCGGGACTTGACATCTTTCTGCAGGGCCTGCAAGACAGAGCTGTTCCGCCTGGCCTTTGGTTTGGACTCACTCTGACCATTATGTTTTCCCTCCCCTTTTGGTTTTGACCATTGGGCTACTTTTAAAATGAGGCTGCATTTTAAATTGCATTTTAACCTGTATTTTAAATTGTTTTGTTGTTGTTTTTCCCCTATTATGTTTTTATTGTAATTTTACTGGTGTTAGCCACCCTGAGCCCAGCTCTGGCTGGGGAGGGTGGGGTATAAATAAAATTTATTATTATTATTATTATTATTATTATTATTATTATTATTATTATTAAAAATGACTCAAAAATAGCATCTAGCAATCCCAGCACTGAACTTTGAGGCCTGTGGAGCGTTGGGAGTTTGAGCAAGAAGTGATCACAGTGGAGTTTGGTGTATATTTTTTTAAAGGGTTCTCCAGAAGTTTGGAGGGTGTTTGGCGGTTTTCCCAATGGTGTTCCAATATACAGTGGTGCCTCGCAAGGCGAAATTAATTCGTTCCGCGAGTTTTGTCGTCTTGCGGTTTTTTTCGTCTTGCAAAGCACGGTGTCGGGAAAGTTTTGGAAAAGCTTCAAAAATCACCAAAGTTTTTAAAAACCTCAGAAAAGGCTACCACACCGCGTTCTATGAGTTGCTCCTCGAAGTCAAGTCGCAACTGTATTAACGGTGTTAAGAAAAAGGAAACAAACTTGCAAGACGTTTCCGTCTTGCGAAGCAAGCCCATAGGGAAAATCGTCTTGCGAAGTAGCTCAAAAAACAAAAAACCCTTTCGTCCAGCGAGTTTTTCGTCTTGCGAGGTACCACTGTATGTGATTTCACTTAAACGTGTTGCGCCTCGGAATGTAACCCGTATGCAAATGGGGAGCTGTTTATTATCTCTCCTCCCACCCCACGCCCTGTTCTGTGCTATCCGTCGCAAAACCCTATTGGACGCAAGTCAGACACAAGTCCCCAGCCCCACAGATCCACCACGCCTGGGGCTCAAGCCTCTCACCTTTCCTGCTCGGCAACTTTGTCCTTCTCGACGCTGCGCAGCTGCTCCAGCTCAGACTCGTCGTCTCTCATCTTCTGTAGCAGAGTTTTGTGCTCCTGCAACGGGGAGAGAAGGGCAGGCAGGGTTAAGGTGGCTGCCGCGAGGCTCTCAGGTCCGACAGCAGGCCTTGCAAAAAACCCAAAAAGCTACGCCTAGGGAGGGGAAGAACAGAGAACGCCGTGGGGCTGGGCAGTATTCCTGACCCACAGTACGCACATAATTTGCTCTCACTGGAGGCAGCGACGCCTGCCAACTTGAATGTCTTTAAAAGAGGACGGGGCGGATTCACAGAGGATGAAAAGGCGACAGTTCTTCTTAGATTCCCATCCTGAGCAGGTGTGGGTACTCTATGCCAGTGTTTCCCAGCCTTGGGTCTCCGCCTGTTTTTGGACTCTCATTCCCATTGTCCTTGACCACCGGTCTTGCTAGCTAGGGATGATGGGAGTTGTAGTCCTAAAACAGCTGGAGGCGCAAGGATGGGAAACGTTGCTTTACGATACGATAATCTTTATTGTCATTGTCCCATACAGAACAACGAAATTGGAAGGGGGAAAAAATCTACACAAGACATTCGAAACCAACAAGCATGCTATCCCAGCCTGGTTAGCCCCCTAAAAACCTGATACCCCATTTTAAAAATACAATACACTCCCATAGAGACCCCTTAGGTAAAGGTAAAGGGACCCCTGACCATTAGGTCCAGTCGTGGCTGACTCTAGGGTTTTGGCGCTCATCTTGCTTTACTGGCCGAGGGAGCCGGCGTACAGCTTCCGGGTCATGTGGTCAGCATGACTAAGCCGCTTCTGGCGAACCAGAGCAGCGCACGGAAACGCCGTTTACCTTCCCGCCGGAGCGGTACCTATTTATCTACTTGCACTTTGACGTGCTTTTGAACTGCTAGGTTGGCAGGAGCAGGGACCGAGCAACGGGAGCTCACCCCGTCATCGCGGGGATTCGAACCGCCAACCTTCTGATCGGCAAGTCCTAGGTTCAGTGGTTTAACCCACAGCGCCACCCGAGTCCCCCTAGAGACCCCTTACACTGCGTTTAAAACCAAAATCGCATTTGGATATAAACTGTTTCTCAGGCGGCTAGTCCTAGTCTTTTAAGCTGTAAACCAGCACGTTTTTGGTTGAATGGTATCATTACATTTTATTATTATTATTTTTTAAAGGCATTCTGGTCTACGGCTACTCCTTTCCAGGGTCTAAAGAATTGTTTGGTCTCTGATAAGTTTGCTAGACTGTTTTTAATGCCATCTTCTGCTTGCAAGGGCCACTTCAAAAAAAGACAACTAAAGAAAAGAGGGTTCTGAATGAAATTAAACAAAAAGGTACAATTAGATGCATCACCAAACCAAGCAAATTTGCACTCTCTCTTAATTTTGGCCCAGCAGCTTTCGCTGCGCCAATCTGCCCTGCGGACAACCGCCGGCGTCTTCCGTCAGGCGAATACCTTCTCCATCCCCGTCAGGAGTCTCTGCAGTTCCTCCAGCTTCAAATCCTTCTCTTCCAAGTCCAGCTCCACCCTTCTGAGAGCTGCTCCCGAATGTTCAGCTTCCCTCCGATAATGGGAAATGGACGTCTGCAAGAAGAAGGGAGAGGGGGCACTTTTGCATGCATGTCGACACACACACACGGCTAGCGAAACTGAACTGTTCACTCCAAAAGCCTGGCAACCATCATCATACCATCATCAACCCTAAACGGCCTCGGTCCTGTATACCTGAAGGAGCGTCTCCACCCCCATCATTCTGCCCGGACACTGAGGTCCAGCTCTGAGGGCCTTCTGGCGGTTCCCTCCCGGCGAGACGTCAAGTTACAGGGAACCAGACAGAGGGCCTTCTCGGTGGTGGCACCCACCCTGTGGAACGCCCTCCCTTCAGATGTGAAGGAAATAAGCAGCTATCCTATCTTTAAAAGACATCTGAAGGCAGCCCTGTTCAGGGAAGTTTTTAATGTTTAACGCTGTACTGTTTTTAACACTTGATTGGGAGCTGCCCAGAGTGGCTGGGGAGACTCAGCCAGATGGGCGGGGTATAAATAATAAATTATTATTATTATTATTATTATTATTATTTGGAGGCAATGACGAAGGACCCCTTCCCTGGCCCACAGCTCAAGCATCTCATCCAACTGGCAGCGCAGCCTCAGAGAGGGTGGTCCTTGCAACCCCAGTCGAGGATGCAAAGCCACGGGCCTCCCAGGTGTTGGAAATTGGGCCAGATCAGCAGTTCTCAAAGTGGACAGTACCACTCCTGGGGGAGGGGGGGAAGATTACCTAGCAGGGTTCGAGGGGGGGTGATGTGTGTCTCTGTTGTGTGGGATGCGGGGGAAACCATGAAGCCAAATGTAAAGGGGACCCCCGACCATTAGGTCCAGTCATGGCCAACTCTGGGGTTGCGGCGCTCATCTCGCTTTGTTGGCCGAGGGAGCCGGCGTACAGCTTCCAGGTCATGTGGCCAGCATGACTGAGCCACTTCTGGCAAACCAGAGCAGCGCATGGAAACGCTGTTTACCGTCCCGCCGGAGCGGTACCTATTTATCTACTTGCACTGGTGTGCTTTCAAACTGCTAGGTTGGCAGGAGCTGGGACCGAGCAACGGGAGCTCACCCCCTCATGGGGATTCAAACCGCCGACCTTCTGATCGGAAAGCCCAAAGCTCAGTGGTTTAGACCACAGCACCACCCACGTCCCTAATAGCTCCATCCTTATTTCAGACAGTGTGATATATCAGTACAGTCGTACCTTGGAAGCTGAACGGAATCCATTCCGGAAGGCCATTCGACTTCCAAAACTTTTGAAAATTCTGATTGGCTGCAGGAAGCCCCGTCAGCAGTTCAGGTTCCAAAAGAACGTTTGAAAACCAGAACACTCGCTTCCAGGTTTCAATTGTCCGGGAGCCGAAACGTCCGAGTTCCAGGGCGTCCGGGATCCAAGGCACAACTCTACAGTCATACCTCGGGTTAAAGTTGCTTCAGGTTGAGTGTTTTCGGGTTGCGCTCTGCGGCGACCCGGAAAGGACAGAACACGTTACTTCCGGGTTTCGCCGCTCGCGCATGCGCTCAAAATGACGTCAGACACATGTGCAGAAGCGGAAAATTGCGACCCGCGCAGATGCGTGTCACGTTCTCTTCAGAATGCGAATGGGGCTCAGGAACGGATCCCGTTCGCATCCAGAGGTACCACTGTATATCGCAATGTTTAGCTGGCGATATATTGCAACGCTGAAAGCCAGCCCTACACAGGGGTGCTGGAGGTGTAAAGGATGGTCACACTTTGGAAAGCCGCTATCCCTGGATCAAGTTTGTCAGTTTTGTTGCATTAGTCAAGCTAAACTGTCCAAACTGGATTTTGAAGAATGTGCAACTGATTGCGACCGCTTTGAATGTTACGATCTTCCTGAACGGGTCGCTCAAACTGCAGTTTTGAATCATGATTTTTGTAGGGTAAGGTTGCGGGCCCTGGGGATGAGCTTATGGAACCAAGGGAGCGGTGACCCCCCCCCCATAAAAGTTTGGGAACCGCTGGCCTGATCCAGCGGGCATTTCTTGTGTTCTGACCTCATAAGCGGCTCTGTCCGACTGGTGGCGCTTCTCAGCCTCTTGAAGTTTCGTGAAGAGCTTCTTGGTGGTCTCCCGCATTATCGAGATGTCTTCTCCGGGGTACGTCGGCTCATCCTGGAGAGAGGTAAGGTTTTTAAGCAAGGGGGACCTTTTTCGGCCGGAGGGCCACCTTCCCATTTGGGGGCAGCCTTCCGAGGGCCGCACACCAGGAGTGGGCGGGGCCAGAAACAAGAGTGGGTGGAGCAATGAAAGGGGATGCTTTGTTTTTTATGATAGGTTAGTTTCCTACTTCGCTCTCTCTCAACAGATTGAGGTTGAATCCTGACAAGACAGAAGTATTGTTTCTGGGGGACAGAAGGCGGGCGGGTGTGGGGGACTCCCTGGTCCTGAATGGGGTAACTGAGCCCATGAAGGACCAGGTGTGCAGACTGGGAGTCATTCTGGACTCACAGCTCTCCATGGAGGCGCAGGTCAGTTCTGTGTCCAGGGCGGCTGTCTACCAGCTCCAACTGGTACGCAGGATGAGACCTTATCTGCCCGCTGTCTGTCTCACCAGAGTGGTGCATGCTCTGGTTCTCTCTCCCTTGGACTACTGCAATGTGCTCTACGTGGGGCTACCTTTGAAGGTGACCCGGAAACTGCAATTAATCCAGAATGCGGCAGCTAGACTGGAGACTGGGACTGGCTGCTGAGACCATATAACACTGGTCCTGAGAGACCTGCATTAGCTCCCAGTACGTTTCTGAGCACAATTCAAAGTGTTGGTGCTGACCTTGAAAGCCCTAAACAGCCTCGGTCCAGTATACCTGAAGGAGCGTCTCCACTCCCATCGTTCAGCCTGGACACTGAGGTCCAGCGCCGAGGGCCTTCTGGCGGTTCCCTCATTGCGAGAAGTGAGGTTACAGGGAACCAGGCAGAGGGCCTTCTCGATGATGGCACCCGCCCTGTGGAATGCCCTGCCTTCAAATGTGAAGGAAAGAAGCAGCTATCCTATCTTTAAAAGACATCTGAAGGCAGCCCTGTTTAGGGAAGTTTTTAACATTTTATGCTGTATTGTTTTTAACACTCGATTGGGAGCCGCCCAGAGTGGCTGGGCAAAGACCAGACACAGAGGCCTGGAGGGGCACATTTAGGCCCCCCCAGGCCTGAGATCTCCCCACCCCTGAACTGCCAAGAAAACGATGGACTCCCATCTCCCCATTTGGTGCTGACATCCAGGGTGGTGCAATGGTTAGAGTGCCGGACTGAGCTTCAAATCCCCGCTGGGGTCACAGTGGGCCGGCCAGCATCTCTGAGCCTAACCTACCTCACAGGGTTATTGTGAGGGTGGGGGGTGAAGAGAAAGGGAGAGGTGCATAGGCCATCTTGAGATCCTTGGAGGAACGGTGGGGTATAAATGCAAGAATAAATAACGTGCAAACGAGCCACAAGCAAGCTGATTCACCTTGTTCAAGGCATTAATTAATTGCATTAACATCTCCCCCCCCCTGCAAGAAGTTCCAAGGCAAGGGACAGGGCTTTCACTTCCTTGGCTTCTCCTTGCAAGGTCGGGGCCCCCAAAAATCACCCAGCGGCAGAGTGAGGATTCCCTACCCCACTGGCCTGAGGCTCTAACCATTGCACCACACTGCCTCCCCTCTCCCCTAACTTCAGCTCTAGGTCAGAGCGAGTGAACAAGCCGGCCCTTTTGTGACCAGCCCAGTTTTTCCCCAACCTCAGTTCCTTCCAGGCATGGAGGCCACCTGTGAACGCCAACCGTCCCCCCCCCACCACCACCACCACCACCACGGCCACGGACTCTCGCGCACGGACCTGGCATAGTGATACGCTGCGAAATGAGGTAGTTCTGTGAGGACGGATCCCGTTCGGCTTGTCCAGCGTTTTCTGTGTTTGAAGACATACACACAAATAAAGTAAAATAAACTGGGGAAAGGGAACAGAACAGCACCTCTTTCGTGACAGAACTCCACACAGAGGCGTCTCTCACACCCTTTTAATCATGCAGATAAAGAAACCGTATTTATCGCCAGGCTTTTAGCAGCTGATGGGTAACGTCATTTTTAGGACAGTTTTTAAAAGTATATTGTTGCTTGGCTGCGTTGCTCACCCAATGAGGAGTCTAAGAACGACTGGGGGGTGGAGCTTGCATGCCTTGTGCCAATCAAATCGGCCGCGTTGCCTGGGGACTCGCCTTTGCTCAGCGCTTCCCAGCGGAGAGGGGACGGTGCTTTTCCTTGCTGCATCCCCTTTGCCGGGTTGCTGCGCTGTGGGAACCACCGCTTGAGGCTTCGTTTGGCTGCTGGCTGGGCTTTCTGCCTTTGGCTCGGAGGGGCTAAGAAGTTGAACATACCTGTGCTGGAAAATCCCTTATTTTGGCTGCTGGCCCCTTATTTTCAAATCTGTAAGCTGACAGCTATGCTGCAATGCGGAGTGTTTGCCCCCTCTTGGGGGCTTTTCCCTGAGGAGGGAGATGGGCAGCCCTTCTCCCTCCTCGGGGAACAGCCCCCAAGAGCCGCACAATCGCTCCACGCGGCTCTTTAAAGGGAGCGCTGAGCAGAACCTCCCACCTGCATTCGCTCCATAAGACGCACACACATTTCCCCTTACTTTTTAGGAGGGGGAAAATGCGTCTTACAGAGCAAAAAATACGGTAAGTGCCAACGTGTTGCGTGAGTCGCAATACTTCTATCAGCAACACAGGTTGCATTTTTCTAGCAGGGTCCATGGGTGCTGCTGCTTCCTGAGCGACGCCAGTCATTCCTGCTCTTCCCCCCGACACACAAACACACACAGACCCCGGTCACCACCTCTCAGCTTGGCCAACCTCACAGGGTTGTTGTGAGATAAATTCGGGGAATTTTTTTTTTGTTGAGGGAGAGAAACACCCCGTACATCGCCCTGGAATTCCTGGAAGGAAAGACGGGATATAAACAGAGCCAAACCCTCGCTCTGCTCCCCCTCTGGCTCAGCCTAACCTCTCCATCTCAGGCAGATGAAGATGATGGAATTCATGGAGCTGGCTGATCTCACCGGGAGAATCAGCGACCAGAAAGGACTACCAAGAAGACTGGAAGAAATTTAAAGACTATTTGAACAAATCTTCTAATATTAAAGAAATGTAACCACTTGAAAGAACCAATCAGGCCTAGGATTAAATTAGACTTAAGTATATAAATAAGAAATGTACTATAAGAAAGGTAAAGAAATTGGAATACGACTGTAATATTGTTTTATGAAATAATGATACTGGAAACTGCTACATTCAAATTAAGAGGAAATTCAGATGGAGGAGATTAGAGGAAGTCAACTAAAATGTTTATGAAAATGGATTTCAATCAATTAATTGAGTTTCTTTTTTTTCTGTTTACGTATTTTAAGTTTGTTATTCTTTTTTTCCTTCTTTTTCACTTCTCTATTGTGTTGTTGCATATTTTCTTTTTTGTTATGTCTATTGAAAATTAATAAATACTATTGTCAAAAAAAAGCCCACCCCTCTCCATCTCAGACTTTCTCATCTTTGAAGGAACCGAGCAAAGACCCATCACAGGCTGCCTGTGGTTGCAGACCTCCCAAAACTCTTGGGAAACGCCGGGGACTTTGCCAAAGGAACCGCCAACACCTTCAGAGCGGGGAGAGGCCCTCGCTGCGAGGTGTGGCAGGCAGGCAGCTGGGCCAAGACGGGCAGACAAAACACAGAAGGCAACTCCTGACAGATCCTTTCCAGCTAGCAAAGCAATTAGGGCCTCGGATGCGGCAGAGGTTCTAAGGCGGGCGTGAGTCAGCGAGCTTCTTGATGCAAAAAGGGGGGTGGGGAGAGAGAAAACACCCTTTGGTGCCAGTTAGGCGGAGCGGATTTCTATAGCCAGGCTCCAACACAAGGCGTTCCTCTGTATAAAGGTTTGCCTTTTGCAACTTGTCCTAAGGTCCTTCCCTTACTCCCCTTTGCAGAATGCATCAGCAAGAATGCGAGAATATTTTTTTCTGGGACAGAATCTGTGCATTGGCGGGAGAAAAATACACTGGGTAGCAACAGGTTTTTACCAAACTGCTGAAGAGGCAAGCCTCCCTTTCCAGCTGCAGGTGAAAAGTTGCTTGCCTCTTCAGCCGCTGCAGTAAACTTCAGAAATACTGTATTTTTCGCTCTATAAGACGCACCAGACCATAAGACGCACCTAGTTTTTGGAGGAGGAAACCAAGAAAAAAAATATTCTGAATCTCAGAAGCCAGAACAACAGCGAAAGCAGCGATCCCTCTTGTTGTTCTGGCTTCTGGGATAGCTGTGCAGCCTGCATTCGCTCCATAAGACGCACACACATTTCCCATTACTTTTTAGGAGGGAAAAAGTGAGTCTTATAGAGCAAAAAATTCGGTATTTATGTTATTTCTGCGCGCGCGCACACACACACACACACACACCCTTCAGTGCCCCGTTGAGAGCCCGTGCTACCAGCTCCTTCCGTTTTGCAAAATTACCTCCCCGCTACTTGCCAGCACACATTATTTAAAAGGATGCTAATTACCGCTTGGATATGACAGCCGTCACTTTTCAGTTGATGGAGGCTCTTTTCGTTCTGGGCCCTGTCCTCGGCTCGGGCTCGGAGGTAGACCTGAGTCACAGAGGAGAAACCAGAACGCCCATCAAGTTGGGAAGGAAAGCTGCCCTGATAGGAAGGAGGCAAACCCGGCGCAAGATGGGACAGGCGCATGCTTGAGGAACGGTTGAGGATCAGGGCTGGGGAGCAAGCTGGAGCCCCCCAGACGTGGCTGGACTCCAAGTCCCATCAAGCATGGCCAGCCACCAGGGATGATGGCAGTCAGCAGAAAAAAGACAGTCACGGAACTGAGAATTGCACAAAACAAATGAAAATCCCTGAAACGAGAAGTAATCGACTAGAAATATTATCTTGTAGAAATAAACTAAATAATAAAAATCAAAAAGTTTAAAAATTAGAAAAACCTTGCTTTACCTAGGATTATAACACTTCAGTATTTTTGGGAGTTCTACCCCTTTTTTAAAAAAATTTGGTCATTTAAGGTTTACGATTTTTCTATTTCCTTCAGAGGAAACTGAATAGTTCAGTGAAACAAGGTTTGTAGCCGGCCTTTGGCCAGGGCACAGCCTGACTCCCTCCTTTGGCAATCTTCACAGAATTTTAGCCTAATGGTTGCCATCAATTTGAGTTGAATTAATTTTAATGAAATGATTTTAGAATGTTGTATTATTTTATTGTTGTTAGCCACCCTGAGCCCGGCTTCGGCTGGGGAGGGCGGGATATAAATGAAATTTTTTATTATTATTATTATTATTATTATTATTATTATTATTATTATCCCATTAAGGCTTTGTTCAATTTTCTAATTTTTTCCCTTAAACTTTCTGATTTTTATTATTTAGTTTATTTTTACCAGGGATGATGGGAGCTGGAGTCCAGCAACATCAGGAGGGACACAGCCTCCTCTGCAAGCTTCACCTACACAGCCTTGCTGCTGAGCTGCAAACCTTTTCCTAACAGCAAAGATTCTAGTCCTCATGTTTCGAAAAAGAAGTCAGAGCCACTGCACCCGGGTTCCCCTTGCAAAGCATTCCGGGAACCGCAGCTCTGTGAGGGGGCAAACTAGAATTCCCAGGAACCCTTGAGGGGAAGCAAAGGAAGAACGGATTCAAAAACTTACAGAACAGGCGGAGAAACTTACCGGAAGAGTAAGAAATCAAGTTAACAAACTTTTTATAAAAGAATGGAAATGGTTTATTGAATATTTGCTGATAAATTGTAAACAGGTAAGAACATTGGCAGGATTATTGCAATGACCCGCAGTTCTATAAGAGCATATATTTAAAGCAGATGGATAAATGAGCAAATTAAGTGAATTTGGATAGGCAAAAGGTATTAAAAATAAATTTAAGGAACCGTGGAAAGAGGGGGAAGGAAGTCAAAGTTATGAAATGTTAAAAGGATTGTGAAATTAGTGAAATGTATAAACCTGAAAAGCATAAATAAAATAAAATAAAATAGAGTCCCTGAGGAGAAGGCAGGTGCTTTAAATCTACGCCGTGACCTTAAACAGGAACACAGAAAGCTGTCCTTCTACAGAGCCAGGTCACTGGGGTCTACCTACCTCAGGGCTGCCGACACTGGCTGGCAGCTGCTCTCCAGGGTTTCAAGAAGAAACCAACCCCATCTGGAGATATGGGGGGCAGGATTGAACCTAGGACCTTCTGCATGCAAAGCAGGGACTTTCCCACAGAGCTACACACATTCCCCCTAAAAATGAAGCAAGGCTCCAGTCCTCATGGTTCTGAGCAAGAGGGCTGCTTTAAGCAGAGGCACCAGAAGCTGCCTTATACTGAAGCATCTGGGCATACAGCTCCATACTGCCTACACTGACTGGCAGCTGCAGGCAGGGCGTCTCTCCCAACCCTACCTGGAGATGCTGGGTTTTTGCACCTGGGACCTTCTGGTTGCAAAAGAAGCTGCTCTGCCCCCCTGGACTACAAGACCCTCCCTGAAAAGCCGGTTCCTTCCTTCTATTTCTCGCCCGCCAACAACACCCTGTCTGCTAAAAATAAAGCCGCGAAAGCCGAGCGCCGGCTGGTCCCAGCTCACCTTGATGATTTCCTCGTCGCCCTCGCTGGACTTGACGTACTCAGACGCCAAGGCGTGGCTGCTGGGGGGCCGGTTGGCCACCATGGCAAAGGCCCTTCCCACCGGCTGCGGGAGACAAAACGAAGGCTTCCTGTGAGCAGGTTCCCTTTTCTGCTTACCCTCTGAATTTTAGATTGAATTGATTTTAGAATGTATTTTAATTAATTGATTGTGATTTTATTTTAATTATTATTATTATTAAATTTATTTATTCATTTTTTCAATACAAACAACAACCACAAAAACCACATACAACAAAAACCAGGATAACACTAATAACACAATTTAACAATTCAGATTAGAGTACTGATATACCTATAATTACACCTTTTTAACAATATTTCCCCACCTCTCCTCCCCCTACTTCCCACCACTTTCCGCCTAATCGCTTAATTGATTGTGATCTTAGGTAACTGTAGCTCTGAGCCCGGCTTCAGCTGGGGAGGGCAGGATGATGATGTTGATGATGATGATGATGATGATGATTACAGTGGTACCTCGGGTTACATACGCTTCAGGTTACAGATGCTTCAGGTTGCAGACTCCACTAACCCAGAAATAGTGCTTCAGGTTAAGAACTTTGCTTCAGGATGAGAACAGAAATCGTGCTCCGGCGGCGCAGCGGCAGCAGGAGGCCCCATTAGCTAAAGTGGTGCTTCAGGTTAAGAACAGTTTCAGGTTAAGTACGGACCTCCGGAACAAATTAAGTACTTAACCTGAGGTACCACATTCTTCTTCTTCTTCTTCTTCTTCTTCTTCTTCTTCTTCTTCTTCTTATCATCTCTCCGGGTAGGGCCAAGTTAGCAGTGGGAAAGCTCGAAGGGAGGTGGCGAGGGACCCGAGGGCCACACTCCCTTCCTGGGAAGCCTCGTGGGGGCCGCACTAAAGGAGGCCTAGATGCAAAAGCAAGCAGGGCAAAGGACTCTCAACTCTGCAAATCAATGAAATGCATGGGAATCTATATGGCGCAACCCATCTTTAAAAACAATTTCAGATGGCCTCCAGGCAGTTTTCCTTAAAATTATCTTTCAATGGCACTGGACACACACCTTGCAAGAATAAATCCTTCATTGGTGTGCTGGAAAGGCTGTGGAGAGCAAGGTTCCTATTTTCATAACTGGCAGGACTGCACTTTTGGGGAAAGGTGTTTCGTCCGTCCTCCGACTTCGAATCTTACTCTCGGATGCAAAGAAATAATTTCCTTCTTGCTCATACCGGCATTTGGTCTCCTTCTCTCCCCCCCCCTTTTATTAATGAAAAACGGAGACATTTAAATGCCCTCATCATCCCCAGAATGCTTATGGACAGGGTATAGCGACTGAAAACTTTTAATGAGCCAATGTGACGGTTAGATATTGACTGAAAACTGTGGCCGACATGGCAGCAGTGTGTAATTAAAGCTTATTATTAGGAATATTTTGTAATGCTGCAGCAACAGACAAAGTTTTGTTGCAACTTTAAATTTCGTTTGAAGACTATTGTCAAGACTTGCTTTAATATTAAGTTTATTAACAATTAAAAAAAAAACACCTCTGCAAATCAGGCAGCTCTCCAGCCCCACAAAACCCAGAGATTTCTATATATAGCCCCAAACACACCTCCCTCTCCTCATTACCAGGTGCGCAGCCTGGGAGTCATTCTGGATTCACCGCTGTCCGTGGAGGCGCAGCGCAATTCTGTGTCCAGGGCAGCTGTCTACCAGCTCCATCTGGTATGCAGGATGAGACCCTCCCTGCCCGCAGACTGTCTCACCAGAGTGGTGCATGCTCTGGTTATCTCCCGCTTGGACTACTGCCATGCACTCTACGTGGGGCTGCCTTTGAAGGTGACCCGGAAACTACAACTAATCCAGAATGGGGCAGCCAGACTGGTGACTGGGGGCGGCTGCCGAGACCACATAACACCCGTCTTGAAAGACCTACACTGGCTCCCAGGACGTTTCCAAGCACAATTCAAAGTGTTGGTGCTGACCTTTAAAGCCCTAAACGGCCTCGGTCCTGTATACCTGAAGGAGCGTCTCCACCCCCATCGTTCAGCCCGGATACTGAGGTCCAGCGCCGAGGGCCTTCTGGCGGTTCCCTCCCTGCGAGAAGCCAAGTTACAGGGAACCAAGCAGAGGGCCTTCTCGGTGGTGGCACCCGCCCTGTGGAACGCCCTCCCACCAGACGTCAAAGAGAAAAACAGCTACCAGACTTTTAGAAGACATCTGAAGGCAGCCCTCTTTAGGGAAGCTTTTAACGCTTAATAGGTTATTGTATTTTAGTGTTCTGTTGGAATCCACCCAGAGTGGCTGGGGAAACCCAAATCGCTCCCCATAACGAGGACCTGGACATTGTCTTTTATACCACATTTAACAAGCATGGCTTCTTCCCAAAGGAACCAGGGCAGTGCCAGATTTACGTATAAGCTAAACAAGCTATCGCTTAGGGCCCTACTCTCTTGCCCCCCCCCCCATATACTTCTTAATTGCATTTCACTATTAATATACCGTATTTTTCTGTGTTTAACACGCCCCTGTGTATAAGACGCTCCCTATTTGGGGGGACTCAAAATTAAGAAAATGGGGGGGGGTTGCCCCTGCGTATAAGACTACCCCCCCTTTTAACGTTATTTTTTAGTAACAAAAAACCTAGTCTTATACACGGAAAATACGGTACTTCTTCTAAATTGTATTTCAGTTCAACAATTACTTTGATAAAATACATATTTTGTGATGTGCAAATGGCTTTAGATACCTATTAGGTCCATCAATTTCCATATAGCATATATTCAGCACAAAAAAAGTGACAATTTGTTGTTGACAAAGGACAGCTGGACATATAAAGGGCCCCATTACCTTCAGTAGCTCAGGGCCTCATCAAACCTCCATCCGGCCCTCATCCTGGGAACTGTAGCATTTTAAGGGTGCTGAGAGTTGAGAGGAGACCCCCCCCACCCAATTCCCGTCACAAAGCTACAGTTCCCAAAATTTCCTAGGAAGGTTCAGTCAAGCTGCTGAGAGTTGCAGCTCTGTGAGGGGAACTGGGGGGGTGTCTCCTGACAAATCTCAGCACCCGCAACAAACTACAGCTCCCAGGATTCTTTGGGGGCAGTCGTGGCTGCTAAAATAGTATAGCAAGCGGGGCCTTATTCACACAAGCCACTCACCTTTTGCTTTCCTTGGTCACGCCTGTCCCCAGGAAGGTCATTCTGGAGGGTCAGTCTTAGTATTTTCACACTGTCCTGAAAAACAAGACGGCAAAAGAGACACGCTCAAGACGTTGGCTTAGCAACTTTTACCAGTATTTGCAAATTGCATCCCAAAGCGATCTCTAATATAACAGCCGCAGAAAGGTTGTCATTCCAGGCGCTGTTGTCGATTTCGTTCGTGGATCGCTTCCCACGAGGCAGCCCAAATTTGCGGCATGATCAAAACATAATCAGCCGTTATATATAACTGCATATGAGGTCTATAAAAAATGTATATACAGGTGAAACTCGAAAAATTAGAATGTGGTGGGAAAGTTCGTTTATTTCAGTAATTCAACTTAAAAGGCGAAACTAATATATGAGATCGACTCATGACATGCAAAGTGAGAAATGCTTCTACTTCTCAGAGGTCCAATCTTGCTCGATTTGCAACCCTTGTTTTGCTGATTTCCTTGAATATTCTAATTTTCTGAGATTGTTAATTTGGGGTTTTCATAAGCTGTACACCATGATCATCGCAATGGTAACAAATCAAGACTTGACATATCTCGCTTGCCATGTCATGAGTGTATCTCATATATTAGTTTCAACTTTCAAGCTGGATTACGGAAATAAAGGAACTTTTCCACAATGTTCAAATTTTTCGAGTTTCACCTGTATATCCTAAAATACAAAACACAGTCTCAACATAATGGCGGTTGCTTGAAATCAACTTGGACCCATCTAAGAGAGAAGGAAGCTGGGATGGAGATTTTAGAAGGTTGTCGAAAGAGGAACTTATTAAACAGGTGCCAAAAAGACAAGAGAGAAGGCGCCTGTCTGATACGTGCAGTGGGAGGGAGTTCCAAAGGCTAGGGGCCACCACACGGGAGGCCTGGTTCTGTCATGGTGCGAAGCAGATCTCCTGATCTCAAGAATGACAGAGCTCAGCCAAAGGCTTCATGGGATGGGTTGATTTTACAGAGGGATCTGAAGCGGGGGAAATGAAGCGCCGTCTAACAGCTGAAGAGATTCTCCCCAAAAGGCACTATTATGAACAAACCCTAGACAGCATCTTAAAAAGCAGAGACATCACCTTGCCGACAAAGGTCCATATAGTTCAAGCTCTGGTTTTATAGTGATGTATGGAAGTAAGAGCTGGACCATAAAGAAGGCTGATCGCCGAAGAATGGATGCTTTTGAATTCTGGTGCTGGAGGAGACTCTTGAGAGTCCCATGGACTGCAAGAAGAAGATCAAACGTATCCATTCTGAAGGAAATCAGCCCTGAGTGCTCACTGGAAGGACAGATCCTGAAGCTGAGGCTCCAAGACTTTGGCCACCTCATGAGAAGAGAAGACTCCCTGGAAAAGACCCTGATGTTGGGAAAGATGGAGGGCACAAGGAGAAGGGGACAACAGAGGATGAGATGGTGGGACAGTGTTCTTGAAGCTGCCAGCATGAGTTTGACCAAACTGCGGGAGGCAGTGGAAGACAGGAGGGCCTGGCGTGCTCTGGTCCAGGGGGTCACGAAGAGGCGGACACGACTAAACAACATTAACAACAACAACATGAACAAATAACAGCTTTGGGTGACTAGCAATTCTTAGCGAACAGCCAGAGGTGGTAGAGAACAGCTGCTCTGCATGCAGAAGGCCCCATTTAAACTACCTCTGTGTTCAGAACCATGAGGACTGGAGTCTTGATTTGTTTTTGGGGAAGGTGGCTCAGGGTCAGAGCGGCCGTTTTGCATGCACAAGGTCCCAGCTTCCATCGCTGGCGTCTCCAGGAATGGCTGGGGAATTTCCTCTGGCCTGAAACCCTGGGCAAGCAGCTGCCAGCCAGTGCAGTTTGCACTGAACTAGAGGGACTACAGGTCTGGATCTGCAGAAAGCAGCTTCCTGTGAGCCCCCAAACCCTCCCAGGCCTCAGGCTGACTCTGCCCAACTTCGGCTCTGCAGGAATCAATGCAAGCGCGGTTCTGCCCGAGAGACAGGCACTCATTTTTAATTCATGCGAGACAGTTGGCGCGGAGGATTCGTTTCCGCCTCCCCGCGCTGCGTAAAGAGCTTAACATGCAGGCTTTCCTTTTTCTCCTTCTGCCCCTAGCCAAACTTGTTCAGCAACTTGTTCTCAGCCTTGTAAACAAGCGTGAAAATAGACTTATTTTAGCCACACACAGAGAAAGAGAGAGAGCGCGCCAGATCTCAGGGCTGAGACACGGAAAAAGTGACGCTCTGATGGTGTCTTCTCTCCCTGCAAAGTCGTCCACAGCGTTCAGTAGCTGTGCACACGCCCAACAAACTCAGGGCGAACGTTTTCACGGCTAACGGCGGCCCACTCAAGGGATGATGGGAGCAGAGTTGGAAACTCAGATTATATTTAGCCAAATGGCTCCTTAAACCAGGCGTACAGCCACCATAACGGAATGCCGAATGGCCATTTTGGAGCTTCCAAGTCATGTTTTTCAACGTGACTTCTTGGTTCCTGAAATTCATACCGATTGTGCAGATAAAATGTAACGGGAATAATTCTACAGGACGTGCTGTTAATGTGTGGAAACAGTCAAGATCATGGGTAGGCAAACTAAGGCCCAGGGGGCCGGATCTGGCCCAATCGCTTTCTCAATCCGGCCCACTAACGGTCTGGGAATCAGTGTGTTTTTACATGAGTAGAAATGTGTACCTTTATTTAAACTGCATCTCTGGGTTATTTGTGGGGCATAGGAATTCATTCATTTTTTTTTTCAAAATATAGTCCGGCCCCCCACAAGGTCTGAGGGATAGTGGACCGGCCCCCTGCTGAAAAAGTTTGCTGACCCCTGGTCAAAATCCAAGGATCCCCAGGCGTGCAACTCCAGGTGGGCATGTGCCTGGTGAATTTCGAACGCTGGATGGGAGCTGTAGTCCGAAATCACCTGAAAGACATCACAGAAATGCGGAGTTGGACGGGACCCTGAGGGTCATCCAGTCCAACCCCAGACAATGCAGGAATCTCAAAGATCAGCCTCAACCAGAGCCAGGGCCTTTTCAACACTGGCTCTGGCCTGGTGGAACGCTCTGTCTCATGAGTTGCTCCTCCTGGCCATTGGCTTGGAATCCACTTGATCCCCTTTCCCTCTTTCCTTTTTTCTTTCTCCTTCTGTGATGGAACTCCTAGTTGGGGACTTCCCTGGCTTTTTTTCTGGCCCACATAGGACCAGTCTGGATAGTTGGCCTTGGTGAAGACTTGACGTTTTCATCTCCAAAAAGTTTTTGATTTGAGTTTCTACTGAAATGAGGCTGCATTTTAATGTCCTATTTTAATCTTGTTTTTAAGTTGTATCTCAATCAGTTGTTTTTATACTTGGTGTTAGCCACCCTGAGCCCAGTCTTGGCTTGGGTGGGCAGGGTATAAATAAAATTTATTATTATTTATTATTAAATCCTACATGACAGGTGGCCTAGGCCTGGTTTACTGGAGAACCACCCTATGTTCAGACACCCCCTCGACGTCCTGAACGCATTTTATTAGATGGAGTGACACGGGGGTGCAACAGTCAATGTCACACAACACCTGACACAAGGCCTCTCTCGACAAATTTGCACGCCATCTGAGAGCGCGCTGTTGCTTTCCTCTCCTGCTGGTGGGCTCCTCGTGAGCAGATTGCTTGAGTATCGTGGGTGCTGCTGCGAGCCAAGATCCTCCTGCCGTTCAGCTAATTAACACGGCGCTATCAGCACGCGGACAAGTACGGCGCGATCAGCAAAGCGTGAGCATTTGGGCAAGGTGCAAGAGAGCGTCCTGTCCAGGGGAAGGAAAAACACCCGCCAACCTCAGCACATCACACCTCTGTGGAACTGCACACACCTGTTTAGGATACCCGTGACCCCACCTGAACGCCCAGGGGGCCACAATTAGGACCGACCCACGTTTCCCCTGCTTTAATCGCCAGCAATTTGTACATGCGCTGCCAGCCCTTGAACGCCCAATTCCAGTTGAGAGGGAGGGCGTTCCAGAAGCTGCTTCGAGAGCAGAACGTCTTTCAACGTGGCACAGAAAGGCGTACCTTAATTACCTGGCGGGCAAAAGGCTCTGGCGAAGCCTATTAAAGTCACTGTCGTCACCTTGTTTGCAGTTTCAAAAAAAACCCACCATTCCAGCACCACGCTGGCAGGCGACCAGGAGTTTGGGCCGACCTGGGGCGATTTGTGGCACAAGGGCAAGGCATCCTCCGCCCACCTCTGACATTTTGGGGCTTTTCCCCTTGCTCTGGGTCTGTCCCAATTCTCAATTACGACATCCAGGGCTTATGAAGCAAGAATCAGGAACAAACCGGGACGGCAACATTTTTTAGGCAAACTCGGAGCAGGATCTCCGCAATGTGTCATTCCACACCCCGGACAACCCAGCTGCTGCTCCAGAGGTGCAGAATCTGCCCTGAACAAACGCGCTCACATTTGCAAGAAGATATTTGACTTTTTTGGGGGGTGGGAATTCAGCTGGAGATAGCAAGTGGGGTATAAGAGGGTCAAATGATTGCACCACATTTACCTGTCTCGTGTCTGGAAAGGAATTCAACCCAGAGAATACAATCAGTATTCCGCTTTCGGTTTGCTCACAATACGTTCCCTCTGCACTGAAAAGAACTCGCCTGGCATGACGTAAGGGCTTTATCATTTACGTAATGTAATTACGCAAGTTATGAGGTTTCGCCATGGCAGAGAGTGAGCCCCACGACGTAGCTTTTGGCAGAAGGCAAACTGCAGGGGAACAGAAATGGCGCCACGGGCAACCACTACAGGGCAGAGCAGAAAATGCCTTCTTGATTCCCGAATCAAAGCCCGCAGAGCTGCAGAACCAAAATAAAAAATAAAAACAGGCTCGTTCTGTTATCCAGGAGCACGCAAAACCCACGCGTAATATGATAGTAAAGGTCAAAGGTACCCCTGCCCGTACGGGCCAGTCTTGCCAGACTCTAGGGTTGTGCGCTCATCTCACTCTAGAGGCCGGGGGCCAGCGCTGTCCGCAGACACTTCCGGGTCACGTGGCCAGCGTGACGAAGCTGCATCTGGCGAACCGGCACCAGAGCAGCACACGGAAACGCCGTTTACCTTCCCACTGGTAAGCGGTCCCTATTTATCTACTTGCACCCGGGGTGCTTTCGAACTGCTAGGTTGGCAGGAGCAGGGACCGAGCGACGGGAGCGCACCCCGCCGCGGGGATTCGAACCGCCGACCTTTCGATCGGCAAGTCCTAGGCGCTGAGGCTTTTACCCACAGCGCCACCCGCGTCCCATTATGATAGTGAGCCCCAAATTCTGATCTCAGAGAATTTCAGCTTTTAAAAGCACATACACACAAACAAGGTTCTAGTCCTCATTATGCACAGATAAACTTGGAAGAATGCAGGAATGCGGGAATCACCAAAACTAAGAGGGTGGCTGGAATACAGGCCCTTGTCTGAAACAATGCCTTCATCCCCCCCCCTTTTTTCTCCATCTCCTTTGGGCTAATGCCTAGGTCAGAGGTTCTCAAACTTTGCTTTCCTGCCATGGGCCACATTAAAATTGCCAAGAATCCTGCAGGGGGAACCGGCTTAATTATGTTTTTTCTGCCCATGGTAGCATTTGCAATTCTTTTTAACCTGCATTTTTATTGCTTCTTTTAGTTCCTACACATTGTACTCTATCATGTCACGATCTGAATTCCACAGGATTCAAGCCATAATACGGCAACGTAAGAAACAGAAGCAGCAATAAAAATACAATTAGAAGCCAATTTGAATATCTGATGCTATATGAATATTTGATACAATTGCCGGGGGGGATGGGGGCTTCTCCTAACAACTCTCAGCAGCCTAAACTACCACAACCAGAATTTGTTCCACGTGATATCACAGTGCTTCAAATACATGGTGTGAATGTGGCCATACACAACTCACAAACAAAAAAACACATTTCTGCGCCTACAGTAGGCTTCCCCAACCTGGTGCCTGCAAAATGGACGCTGCTGGGACTCCAGCTCCCATCATCCATTGCTGGCGCTGCCAGTGGATGATGGGAGTCATAGTCCAACACTTCGGGGGGGGGGCATGATCTAGAGCAATGGTTTCTTCAACTTCGAGTCTCCAGATGTTGCTGAATCACCAATGCCCACTAACATATGGTCGAAATTCGCTGGTGTAAAGAGGGTTGATTATCTCCAAGAGATTCGACTAACTGCAGATTTTCTTCCAACGGCTGACTACCTTTTCCCTGTTTGGGTCACTGGCTCCAGTTCCTGAAATATGAGGATTTGTGGCAGAGATCTACCTGCCCCACCAAGAATCCTGAAGGCGTGGCAGGTCAACCGAAGCGGTTATTAAGCTGGTCTCTATAGCAGCCATCGCCACGCAAACACAAAATACGCAGGTGAGATTCTGCAATCGCCCCATATATGGTAGGGGGAGGGCAGAACTTCACAGATCGGCTGAGTGTTTCAGGAAATGAGTCACTGCATTCACCAATATCAAGGTGGGAAAGCCCCTGGGGGTATTATATATCTATACACACACACACACACACACACACACACAAGAAAACCACCCCAGAAAATACAAGTCAAGGTGTAGAAGTTAATATTTTGTTAACCGTCAGTGAGCTTGCTCTATGTAAACAGCCTAAGCACGGAATTTTTCCTTTGCATCCAAGGTGAATCTTATGCTTGCTTATTTGGAGGCATGCGATAACACTTTAAGAATCATGGCCTCCCCCCACACACACACTCCTGAGAGAATCCTGGGAGCTGTAGACCTACAATTCCCAGCACCCTGAACACCCTACAGTTCCCAGGAAAAAGCGCAAATCCAGGTGTAAGTTCTTAGCTGCAAATTCTTCTAGGTGGCCAGCCGGGATGGGAAAGGAGAACAGGCACAGAAGTGGATAATTCTGCCGCTGCTTAACAGATTCCAAACAAGACAGTCCCTACCTCAATACTTTAATATTTTTTTTAAAAGACACACAAGGGAAAAGGGACAGGGAGGGAAGAGGAAAACTCAAGCATCTATTTCTCAACAGGTGTTCCTGAAATGACCAAATGCTGGCGCAGTTCAGGGGCAGGAGGTGCCTAACGGAACGGGGTCTCCAGAAAAGCTGGTGAGATGTGTCCTATTGCTTCCCATGTCTCCCACTGACGCAGCCTGATGGAATGGCTTTCCCCAATGAAATATGGGGGGAGAGGAGGCCGGATGGAGCTGGTCTGCCCCAGCAGAGGCAACTGAGGGAGTTCTGCTTCACAGATGTAATCCAAAACCTGTGGACCAGGTTGGGGGTGGTTGCTCTGGCCAGTCGGTCAATTTTCTATTTTATTTCTTGGCTAGAGAAATGCCCAACCTTAAAGCAATTAACTAAAACCGACTGCATCCCAGTTCAGAAGTCATGCAAACGTTGGCAGTTGCTGGAGATCTGCCCCGTCTGTGGACTCAAGACTCTGAAAAACAACCCCTTAGCGTTTTTTGCACAAAGAGGCATCGCAAAATCAATTTTGCAACTGAAAAGAGCATCTAGCACAGCACTAATTACATCTAGCAGGGGCTGTGGGTGGGTGGTCTTCGTCACAGTGGCACGCAGATTTCCCCAGGTTTTCAGAGCATCAGTTTCCAATGTCTCTCCATTCACCTTTGCTGTCCACCGCTCAGCCAGATTCCTCTTTTAAAACCTCAAAAGGCATTATGTGCTGTGCCAGGAGAGCTGTGACACGCATCTGGATCTGTCACTTCAAGCCGAGATGCGATCAGCTGAACGAAATTGCAGCTAAGCCTCGCGGCTCTCTCCTGAGAAATAAATGACTGAACGAGCAACGTGCCGCAATTTAAGTCCCAGGAGATGTCTTGATTACGCAAATGCGATTCTCCCGAGTCCCCGGCACAATTACCCACTCGGCAAGGGGCATGTTAAATGTTGCAGAAAGATTACAGTCCCATTTTCCACGCCAGGTTATAATTATCTTTACATTCCTCACTCCATCAGAACCCATTTGCGAGCGACGTTTATGAGAAAACATGAGGTCAGAGCGATAGGTATTTTTCAAGACACTAATGAGCAAGAAACACATAACCAAACCCCTATTTGTAGTTTTTTCCCCAAGGTTAAGAGGAATGGATGCCATAAAACAGCCGTTGGGATGGTCACTTACAGTGAGTAGATGCTGCCTTCGGTAATGAGTCTTACTCATTTTTTGAAAACCACTTGGAGGCTTTTTACAATCAAGATTTGTATAAATTCTATGAAATAAATAAATGTATTTACTTCTTCTCTAAGACGGGAACTAATAACAGGGTGGTAATGGGAGGGCGGTGTCTTAACTGTGGTGGCTCCCTGGGGGAGAAGGAACAGTGAGGTGTAGAATGAGAGTCAGACTAGGTTCAGAGTTCAAATCTCAACTCAAGTCACAAAGCTCAATGGATCAGGGTGATTAGGCTGAGAGGGAAGGATTGGCCCACATTTACCATATTTTTCCATCTATAAGATGCCCCGCTTTTTGGGGGGGGGTGTATCAGTGTATAAGACGCCCCCTATTTTTTGACATTGTTTTCTAATGAAAAAACCTACACGGAAAAATACGGTAATTAAGTGGAGATTTTGATGCAGGTGATATTTTCCAACGCTCATCAATTAAAAAGGCACTAATTGACATATTTTAGCCAATGTGGTGCACTGCTGTATTCTGGTCATCAAGACCCGGGTTCCAAATTCTACTGTGTGAACCTTAAGTCGGTCACACAGTCCTACCCCACAGGGATGTTGGTAGGATAAGATGAGACCACGTACGCAGCCTTGGGAAAACTGAAGGAAGGACAGGTTAAATAAAAATAAAAAATAACAGCCGCCACCTGATAAGATGTGAACAGAAGAAAAAGTTCAGTGGCCTCCTTTACACGGCTGTTGTACAAAGCCTTCACATTTTCTCTTCAGCAGGGCTTAGAGCCCAGCCAAAAGTCTTGTCCACAAGACTCCAACTTGAGGTGGGTTAACTGGAGATACTGGGCATTGAACTTGGGAAGAGAGGCAAGTTACTAGTCCTCAGTGTGCTTAATCACCAGTATCCATCCAGGTAGGATATTAGCCACAAAATCCCTCTGGGTTTGTTGCTGTTGCTGCTGTTGTGTCATCAACCTACATCACAAACTTCCGACTCCCAAACGCAAGCACGTTATGTATTTGATAATAACTAACTCCCAACTGCAAGCATGTTACATATTTGGTAATAACTAACATTTATATAGGAGTCCAGCTAGCCAGGCTCTTGTGATCCAGGATGTAATTGCAGAAAGGCCACAGGCACCTAGTGGACAGCGCCTGTGACGTCACCGCTAAGGCACCCTCGGTTGCTAGAACGTGGATACATTCACACAGTAACCACAAAACTGGCTCATCCCAAAACAAGAGATAGGGAAAGGTAAAGGGACCCTGACCATTAGGTCCAGTCGTGGACGACTCTGGGGTTGCGGCGCTCATCTCGCTTTATTGGCCGAGGGAGCCGGCGTACAGCTTCCGGGTCATGTGGCCAGCAGGACTAAGCTGCTTCTGGTGAAACCAGAGCAGTGCACGGAAACGCCGTTTACTTTCCCGCCAGAGTGGTGCCTATTTATCTACTTGCACTTTGATGTGCTTTCGAACTGCTAAGTTGGCGGAAGCAGGGACTGAGCAACGGGCGCTCACCCTGTCACGGGGATTCGAACCGCCGACCTTCTGATCGGCAAGCCCAAGAGGCTCTGTGGTTTAACAGACAGCGCCATCTTATAACAGGTTTGGGATAGGCTTAGCACACAACTGATGAAAATAAGAATCGTCAAAACAGTCACTTTCCTCAAGAACTCAAGCTGGGGAAGGGTGGGAGAAGATGTTTATAAATCCACCCTGAAGACGAGGAATGCTATTGTTATGACCCTGCCTGGGAATTTTAAAATACCTAGTTGGAGTCCTGAGATCCCACGGCTGCATTCAGTGGAAGTTTAGCTCTAATTTCTGCCTTAATCATTTCTTGTAGGAGAGGGAGCATTTGCAAGACTGTTAACTCGGGAAAACTTGCAGTGACAAAATTACAGTTCTTTACCGCCATTTAGAATTCAGCGTGATGCGGCAGTAAACTGATTTTTTAAAAGCCAGAGTTTTCTAACGCAAGGCATTGCAATGTAAACGGAATGCTGAAAATCAAGACGTAAGCGCTACAATTTATGACCAGGAAAACTAGCCCACACAAAAAGCCCACTTCTGAACGTAACCCATGTCTTGCAAACTAAAATTTGTAATAAAGATACTGTTTTCCAAATGAAATCTGAGTCACAAAGACGCCATTTCAGAAGTCTGTGATAAGCCAGGACTTCACATTCGTAACCCTGCCTAATAAGAACAGAGGGTCACAGTAGATAGATAAAAAAAACAGGTAACTTTCCTTCTCAATGATCACACAATACATCCCTGGCAAAACACCTTTTTTTTTAGGAGTGGGCAGGGAACAACCACCTTGGGGCAGGGAGATTTGAGTTGCATCCTAGCTACGCATTCCAGTTGCTTATTTACGGTACATTATTTTATTTATTAAACTTATGAGTCTTTTCTAAAAAAACACACAAAGCCAATTCAAAAGCAACAAGCAAACATTAAAACCAGCTTAAAACAGAAGAAAAAGACAATTGTGTTTTTAAAAGGCAGGATTAAAACATCCCACCCAATCAAGGAGCCTACAGATATCTGAAAGCTGAAGGCCTTGAAGAAGGAATAAGGTTTCCTAAAGGTAAGCAATGATGGGGATCAGGTGAGCATCCCTGTTTCTAACCAGAAGAGATGGTTTTCCCCCTCTGACCTTTTATTACTCTCTCAGCAGCATATATATATGCTAAAATCCACTCAGAAGCCTTCCTCCTTCAGCTTAAAATTAGGGTTTGTACACCAGCCAACTGACCACTTAAATGCTGTCAATTCGCCAGCAGTCAAATATTCTATGAGGCTTGACAAAGTGGACTGCTGTCTACTTAGCAAAAACAGCCTTTGTTTCAGGTTTGGCTTTTTAAAAAAAAATGCTTGCTGTTACGTTTGCTTTATTTGGCTTAATAGCCTTTCTTAAAAAATTGACTTAAAGCAGATTCTGTGTTCCAGGATTAAATAAAAAGCGCGTGTCGTGATCTGTTTATTTATTGGAAGCTTTAGGGAGTGTTGTGCAAAGTTGGAACATTGAATAAAACGGAGCTGGATTCCTTTGCTACTGAACCAGTTAGCTACTTTGTTTTTGTGTTGCGCCTACCTGCTAAGCCTGCTGATTATTTAAACTTTAAACAATTTAAATCACATTTCTGTTCCAACACAAATAAATTGCAAAATGCTTCACTGTTAACTTGACTGGTCAAATGGATAAATCTTTCTTTTTTGCTGGGTCAAATGCCCAAATTTTTATCCAAGCGACAGCTACTCATTAAAGAAAGGAAAAAAACTCTCGTTCAGAATGTTGTTGTTGTTTTACTTTTTTGAAATGCCAAGACCTGGACAAGCAGTGAGCAGTAAATTAAGCCAAGGACAAGGTTGGGAAGGAGAAACTCATTATCTTGGCCTTTTAAGGTGAAGGATGCGATTTGCAAGATGGTCAAAGTTCATGCTTTGATTCAGCAATTTCAAGAATTTGGGTGGGCAGAGGAATTTGCAAAACCAGATAACAGCAGAGACAAAGAACAAGATAAGGAAGAAGAGAGAGACAACGCAGGTGAACTACAATCCCATACCTACCTCTCTAAGGTGAGTAAACACAGGTAAATTTAGCTCTGGGGTCAGACCAACCTGGGCAGTTTACAATTCTGTGTACCTCTAAGAGGTTTGATTTACAATTAAGTGGCACGTAAAGTCTGTTAAATAAATTAACGAACACAACAGACACCAACTCTGTTTTGCAAAAATGCAAGACATTATCATCCGCCTGAACTTGCATTAATTTTTTGAAAAATATATTCCCACCATCCATCCTTTCAACTCCTACCCCACCTCCCTTCCCCCAAAAAGGCCTATTTCAGGAATATCTAATTAATTTGCCCTCCTCATCTCCCAGCGGAGACATCAGATAAGCAACCATTTTCAGCAGCAAGGAGTGGCATCACCGTGTCATTATTGGTGCCATCCCAAAAAGGTTTGACATGTCAAAACAGCCAACCTGCAATTCCTTCAGATAACAGTTTTAAATCGTGTTCGACTTTCCGCTGCTTCTCGGAAACGAGACTCATTCCTAAGAGTCCACGACCAGAAGGAGGAGAATTACCAGGAAGAATGGACGAAATTTAAAGACTATTTAGTAAAATATGTTAAACTAATTCGAGAAGTTTGCAAATAACTGATAGGCTTAGGACATAATCAGATAATGGGATGAATTAATATGTTTAATACAGAGTTGGAAAGGAAAATAAAAAGATGTTAAGTGACTAAGTTAATTTTATAAGAATAGTGGTTTCGGAAAACCGTTAAAATGATATACACTGAAATTCAACCAGGGGGATATGAGGAAGTCACTCAACAATGTTACCAAGTTTGGTTTATATACGGTTGAGATCTATGTTTGTTTTTCTATTTGTGTGTTTGTTTAAATGTTTTTTGGAAAATTAATAAAAATTTTGGAAAAAAAGAAAAGAAACTAGACTCATTCCTGCATCTCACAGCACAAAACACTCCTATCAGAGACCACTCAACCCCCACGGAAGCCCCCCAAAAGTAGTAAGATGTTGGAAAACCCATAGGGACTCCCCACGTAGCAGGCCAAGCCTCAGTCGCTGACTCCCAGATCCCTAAAACTAAATCCACCCTGGGATTTAAAGAGTCACAGGGATCCTGCTTTAAGAATTTTATTGGGGGGTGGGAGTGGGAGTTTGGCACCACCCCAAACTCACCAGAGAGAGATGATCACTGGGCGGCCTCCACAACTGATAGGTGATGGGGGGAAGAGTCCCTAAAACAGGGTGGATCTGATTTAAATCACAATTTAAATCACTAACCAGTAAGACTTGATTTAAATATTTTTTTACAGAAAAACTCATTCTTGCTGGTATCATCTTAATATTTACAACCAGATGAAGGTTTCCTTTTTGGAATAATAAATTTCCAGAGTAGTTTTTACAGTGATATCAAAAATCACTGATTTGGTTATACTATTAGAAATACATAGACAGATCATTATGAAATTATTGTGAGGTTCAATAAGTGAACTATTTATATTTGGAGAACTTTTCTGCTGTACTTTATTGGAAGGATAAAAATAATCATTTACTTAATAACAATTTAAACAACTTATTTAACTAAAGCAATAACATTGTAGCATATGTCTGTTAAAACAAATCCTTATTTCCTGATGAACAGCCTTTGGACTATAATGTAACCTAAACAAAAAGCTACCTTTAGAAAGATTTTTCTTCCAAGGCATTTTATTTTTAAAATCCTATTTAAATAAAAGAAAAAATCCATTTTTTAAAAAAACAATCATTGATTTTTATCCACCCTGCCCTAAAATAAGTCCTAGAAGGAAAGAGGCCTTTAGTAACTGCAACCTCACAAACCTATGGAAATAGATGTCACCGCCAGGCTACCTCATACAACAAAAATCACTATGACAAAAGGGAAAACAACTCCTGTGAACATTGGTAGTCCTCACAAACTCATCAGGTGGCCTGAGGGAAGTCATTTTCTCCTGGCCTCCATTTCCCCCATTGCCATCTGCAAAATGGGCACACGAAAGCTTTCCTTCCTCACTTCCAAAGGTCAATGTTACGGCCAGATGATACGGCACACAAAGACAAAAACTTTTTGTTGAATCCTTATTCAACTGAAGCAAGTCAATTACCGTATTTTTCGCTCTATAAGACGCACCAGACCACAAGACGCACCTAGTTTTTGGAGGAGGAAAACAAGAAAAAAAATATTCTGAGTCTCAGAAGCCAGAACAGCAAGAGGGATCGCTGCGCAGTGAAAGCAGCAATCCCTCTTGCTGTTCTGGCTTCTGGGATAGCTGCGCAGCCTGCATTCGCTCCATAAGACGCACACACATTTCCCCTTACTTTTTAGGAGGGAAAAAGTGAGTCTTATAGAGCAAAAAATACGGTATTTCCTAAATCTAGCCACTGCCTTTGACATTTTGCACAGATCACCCTGCAAAATAAATACTTCTCAAAACTGTTGAGCCTCCCAAATATCAAGTGTTACAACTCAGAAGTCACCGCAAGAATATTGGTAAAAAATTATATAGCCTCCTCCTTACAAAGGAGCATATTCTATGTATTTCTTTAAAATATAATTTGCTTTTCTCCTTTTTTAAAACAGGACACCCAAGGAAGAAGCAAACAACAATTTGATCAGGAGACTCATGCATACATATAGGCGGTGATCCTAGCTACACCTACTCAAAAGTAAACCCCACAGAATTCCACGGGGAGTTACTTCCGAGCAATCAAACTTAGGTTTGAAGCAATAGATTTATCCTTTAAATCTTGAGTCTACTTGACTTTAATACAAGTTCAGACTAATCCCAGATAAAAAATGTGTCTCTAGTAGTTTGTTCCACACCAAATATGAGCTTTTTGGCCCAGAATTGTGGATACCATGCCTTCCCCCCCCAGCCATAAAGCTGTAACCTCTGCTTTAGGGGTGACTTGCAAAAAAAGAGACAGAGACTAACAAATACTGTATAAATGTCTGGAACTTGCTGACACAAGGGCCAACTGCACATGCTCAGAGACAACCTTTACGAAGTGTAATGAGCGACAGCTAGTATTTACATTACGAGTAACCACCACACAGCACAATCTTGTACAGTACGTATTTAACTGAGTGCCAACTGTACTCAACAGTGCGACCCTACACGGATTTACTCAGAAGTAAGCTCCACTAAGGTTCAAGGAGTTGTACTCTCAGGGACAAGATGACAGCCCAAGTGTTTATAGGATTCAACCTTGATCTGCCAAACGCACACCTACACTTCTGGCTGCTTTTAGTATCGCATTACAATCTGCTTTTGACTTAGAAAGGACTTGTTTATCTTTTTGACAGTCGTTTTTCTTTTTACATGTCGGAGGCCGCATTATTCTTAAATAATGTACAGTACTGCATTTAAACACACACACACACACAATCGCAATATTTCAATTTTCCTTTTAGTATCAACAGGGCACATCGCTTTCCAAGGGTGTGAATTCGATGCTCCTCAGAGTAGACCCATTGAAGAAACACGACTAATTCAGGTTCAGAAAATTCAGTGCACCTACTCTGAGTAACACTTAGCAACCTAAAATCCTTTTTTTCCTTTAAAAAAATAGCAAATAAAGTTACCAAGGAACGATGCTTTACAAAGGGGAAGGAACTTTTTAAAAATGATATTAAAATGATATTAAAAAGTAAAATACTTGCTACGGGACCTGCTTGTTACTCTTTACGATTGCCACAGTCTTTCAAAGGTTTCAAATATTAGGGAGAAGTAAGCTTTATTTAAAAGTTTAATTATTATATCTAAAGCCTCGAATAGGGGAGGCTGAAAAGGTGCAGAGGAACGCTGCTTTACAAACGGTAAGGAATTTTAAAAAATGATATTAAAAAGTAAAATAGTTGCTACGGGACCTGTTTTTTACTCTTTACGATTGCTACAGTCTTGCAAAGGTTTTAAATAGAGAAAAGTAAGTTTTATTTAAAAGTTTAATTATTATCTATAAAGCCTCGAACAGGGGAGGCTGAAAAGGTGCAGAGTCGCTTACCGGGTTCTCTCCCTCCGGTTGCAGATCCACCAGCGTGCAAAGGCTCCTTGCCCCGTTCATTGCAGCAAACCTTCCCTGCCCGCTCCGCTCCCGGCGACGCTTCCTTGCGACTGAAGGCGCATCCGGCCACGCCCGCTCCTTATATACTGGTCACGCCCACTCCCCGCCCCTGCCGCCTCGGCCACGCCCCTTCGCCTCCTCCCCTCACTCGCCCGCCAGCGCCGGCCACGCCCACCCCTCCGTTCTGCAGCGTCATCTCCCTTCGCGCTGGCCACGCCTCCGCGCGCTCTCAAAGGCCCGCCCACCTCTGCCGTCATTCTTTTGTCCGCCGCCGCTCGGCTACTCCTTAGGCTCCGCCCCCTTCCCCCTCCCCACTCCCTTTCCCCGCACATGCGCACTCGGTTTGTCCCTTTATATTAATACATTGGCAATGTATTCATCTATTAACTTATTGGTTAGTACCCTGCATAAAGTCTGCAAATGTTTGAGGGCAGGGAATTGCCTCTAGAGTCAGGATGCCAGCCGTCCTCAGTGATCCAGCCTCCAGTCAATAATAATTCATTTTAATATTTTCATTAATGATTAATTATTGGCTATTAACCAATTAATAATTATGTATAAACTCATTAATTAAGTTTTGGCTACTGATTGCGATTATTAATAAACATAATTGAGAAATGACAATTTTATTTAAAAATTACAATTGTAATTGTTATTGATTAGGCTTATTAAATATTAGTAATAGTCATGCTTTAGTTACTGAGTGCATGATATTGTAAGCCACCTTCCAGGCTCGGGTAGTTTGCAGGTAGACTGCTTTGCTTTAGTTTTCGTCACTTCCAGATACAGCATGAGACACACAATTGTTTTGCAAACAGCACCAGTCAGAGATACACAAAACAACACACTCTGGCAAGGCTTTTAATGTTTGGGTTGTCTGGGTGTGGAAACGAGGTTACTGCACAAAGGAGGAAATAGCTCAGCTGTCAGAACATGAAGCTCAATCTCAGGGTCTTGGGTTTGAGCCCCTCATTGGGCAAATGATTGGGCAAATAAATACACACACCCATATACATATATGCAGCAGTGTTGTATAGTGGTTAGAGGGCTGGACTAAGATCTGGGCGTGTCCAGGGTTCAAATCCCACACAGCCCCATGACGTTGGTTCAGTCACAACCTCTCAGCCAAACCTACCTCACAGGGTTGTTTTGAGAATACGGGGGGGGGGGGAGAGAAGCACATGGACTAGCCCCTTGGAGGAAAAACGTGGGGTAGAAATGTGATAATGAAGAGAACTAAATATATAAAGTAGAAACACCAAGCACCACATCTCAAGAGCATGTGCAGAGTGCATTTTGCCCGTGCTGTTAAGCAATCGCCTTCAGGCACATCTCCACCCACCTGACATGGAAGGTGGCCGCCTGGAGCCATCGCTGGCCCATAAACCCAGGACTGCAGCTTGGCAAGGACAGCCTGTGCCAGTTTGCTCCCAGGCCCTGAAGCCTGAGCTCAACAGCGGCCAATATGTTTTGTTTTGTTTTTCGGACGAGGGCCACATGCCCTCAAGATGTACGTAATCTGGCAGGTGCCACAAAACAAATGAGTGGCATTCTCTCTCTCTGGAGTGGCACATCTCATTATTTAAAAAAATCATTTTTATTGATTTTCCAATAAAAAACATCCAATTAATATATCCAATCATAATACTCCAATTAAAATAAAAAACTAAAATAAAAAAGTCCAAATTATAATTATTAATTTTTCAGAGCTCCCCACAGTCTGTATCTCTGAAGCATATCCCCACATCTCGGTCCTGCCTCTCCTACTTGATTCCATATTTTCCACATTTTGACGCTTTAGGCACCTCTCATGTTTAATGCACCTGCTGCGAGGCATGCTCTTCTCAGCCGTGCGAACCTCCGCCCCCTGCCCACCCATCAATGCCCGTAGGTTACACCAGCGCCAGCCAGAGAGATGGCACAGAGTGTGAGCCTGCTGATTCTCTCTGTGGCTTTCCATACCACTGGGAATCAGTGCTGCTTTGAAGGCTCCTGGCCCCCTGGAGCTTTCAAAACAGGGGTCTACAGGAGTCAGTCCTCCCAACCCCATGCTGTTAAGAATGTAAGAAGAGCCCTGGAGCTGGATCAGGCCAATTTCCTGTTCTCACAGTGGCCAAGTGCCCCTAAGAACCCAGAAATCTAGATGGACTGTCTCTGGAGCTGGAGGTTCCATCAGAACATCTGAGGAGCCCTGCTGGATGAAGCCAAAGTCCCACCTAGTCTCGCATCCTGTTCTTACAGTGTCCATAAGGGACAGCTACACATTGCTGCATTGGTGGGGTTGGACTAGATGGACTCAGGGGTCCCTTCCAACTCTATGATTCTAAGCAGAATCTGTTCTCCCCATTTTGTTGTTGTTTAGTCGTTTAGTCGTGTCCGCTCTTCATTGCCCCCTGGACCAGAGCATGCCAGGCACTCCTGTCTTCCACTGCCTCCCGCAGTTTGGTGAAACTCATGCTGGTAGCTTCGAGAACACTGTCCCACCATCTCGTCCTCTGTCGTCCCCTTCTCCTTGCGCCCTCCATCTTTCCCAACATCAGGGTCTTTTCCAGAGAGTCTTCTCTTCTCATGAGGTGGCCAAAGTCTTGGAGCCTCAGCTTCAGGATCTGTCCTTCCAGTCAGCACTCAGGGCTGATTTCCTTCAGAATGGAGAGGTTTGATCTTCTTGCAGTCCATGGGACTCTCCAGAGTCTCCTCCAGCACCAGAATTCAAAAGCATCCATTCTTCGGCGATCAGCCTTCTTTATGGTCCAGCTCTCACTTCCATCCATCACTACTGGGAAAACCATAGCTTGAGCGATATGGACCTTTGTTGGCGTCTCTGCTTTTTAAGATGCTGTCTAGGTTTGTCATTGCTTTTCTCCCAAGAAGCAGGCGTCTTTTAATTTTGTGGCTGCTGTCACCATCTGCAGTGATCATGGAGCCCAAGAAAGTAAAATCTCTTACTGCCTCCGTTTCTTCCCCTTCTATTTGCCAGGAGGTGATGGGACCAGTGGCCATGATCTTCGTTTTTTTGATGTTGAGCTACAGACCATATTTTGCGCTCTCCTCTTTCACCCTCATTAAAAGGTTCTTTAATTCCTCCTCACTTTCTGCCATCAAGGTTGTGTCATCTGCATATCTAAGGTTGTTGATTCTCCCCATTTAAAGGGTAAGGTAAAGGGACCCCTGACTGTTAGGTCCAGTCATGACCGACTCTGGGGTTGTGACACTCATCTCGCTTTACTGGCCAAGGGAGCCGGTGTACAGCTTCCGGGTCATGTGGCCAGCAGGACTAAGCCACATCTGGCGAAACAGAGCAGCGCATGGAAACGCCATTTACCTTCCCGCCAGAGCGGTACCTATTTATCTACTTGCACTTTGAGGTGCTTTCAAACTGCTAGGTTGGCAGGAGTTGGGACTGAGCAACGGGAGCTCACCCCATCGCGGGGATTCGAACCACCGACCTTCTGATCGGCAAGTCCTAGGCTCTGTGGTTTAACCCATAGCACCACCCGCGTCCTTCTCCCCATTTAGGATCCTACAAAACATAGCTACCAAGGCTAGTAGCCCTTGATAGCTGCCCCCCTCCTCCCTGTATTCATCCAACGCTCTTTTAAAACCCTCCAAGTCGGTGGTCATCGATCTGAATCTGCTGAGCAGGGTCATCCAGAGATTTGGAGTGCGTTGTCATCAATTCGCTGATGACACACAGCTCTTATTTCGCCTTTACATCAGAAAGTGCAGCGGGGAATGTGCTGGTTTGGTGTCTTATTCCAGTAATAGGCTGGACAAGAGCCTTGAGCCCTAATCTCCAGAGCAGGAGAAAACAAGCAGGCTCCATCTTTCCATGTGATAGCCTTTGAGATATTTGAAGATAGCTCGCATATCTCCTCTCAGTCTCCCCTCTTCCAGGCTAGACATACCCTGCTCCTTCAACCTTTCCTCATAAGGCTTGGTTTCCATACCCTTGATCATTTTGGTCGCCCTCCTCTGCACACCTTCCAGCTTGTCAACATCCTTCTTAAATTGTGGCGCCCAGAATTGGACACAGGATTCCAGGTGTGGCCTGACCAAGGCAGGAGAGAGTGGGACTATTACTTCCCTTGGTCTGGACACTATACCTCTGTTGATGCAGCCTAGAATAGCGTTAGCTTTTTTTGCTGCTGCATCACACTGTGGACTCATACTGAGCTTGTGGGTCCACCAAGACCCCTAGATCCTTTTTGCATGTACTGCTGGCAATCCCCCATCCTATACAGTGGTACCTCGGATTACAGGTGCTTCAGGTTACAGATGCTTCAGGTTACAGACTCTAACCCAGAAATAGTACCTCGGGTTAAGAACTTTGCTTCAGGATGAGAACAGAAATTGGACGGTGGCAGTGTGGCGGCAGCTGGAGGCCCCATTAGCTAAAGTGGTGTCTCAGGTTAAGAACAGTTTCAGGTTAAGAACGGACCTCCAGAACGGATTAAGTACATAGCCAGAGGTGCCACTGTATTTGTGCATCTGGTTCTTCCTGCCTAAGTGAAGAACCTTACTTTTGCCCCTATTTAAATTCATTTTAAGGGAC